TCGTGCATTCTCTCAACTCCCGTACCACCTGTACAGCAATGAGCAGCAGTCGTGCATTCTCTCAACTCCCGTGCCACCTGTACAGCAATGAGCAGCAGTCGTGCATTCTCTCAACTCCCGTACCACCTGTACAGCAATGAGCAGCAGTCGTGCATTCTCTCAACTCCCGTACCACCTGTACAGCAATGAGCAGCAGTCGTGCATTCTCTCAACTCCCGTACCACCTGTACAGCAATGAGCAGCAGTCGTGCATTCTCTCAACTCCCGTACCACCTGTACAGCAATGAGCAGCAGTCGTGCATTCTCTCAACTCCCGTACCACCTGTACAGCAATGAGCAGCAGTCGTGCATTCTCTCAACTCCCGTACCACCTGTACAGCAATGAGCAGCAGTCGTGCATTCTCTCAACTCCCATACCACCTGTACAGCAATGGGCAGCAGTCGTGCATTCTCTCAACTCCCGTACCACCTGTACAGCAATGAGCAGCAGTCGTGCATTCTCTCAACTCCCGTACCACCTGTACAGCAATGAGCAGCAGTCGTGCATTCTCTCAACTCCCGTACCACCTGTACAGCAATGAGCAGCAGTCGTGCATTCTCTCAACTCCCGTACCACCTGTACAGCAATGAGCAGCAGTCGTGCATTCTCTCAACTCCCGTACCACCTGTACAGCAATGAGCAGCAGTCGTGCATTCTCTCAACTCCCGTACCACCTGTACAGCAATGAGCAGCAGTCGTGCATTCTCTCAACTCCCGTACCACCTGTACAGCAATGAGCAGCAGTCGTGCATTCTCTCAACTCCCGTACCACCTGTACAGCAATGAGCAGCAGTCGTGCATTCTCTCAACTCCCGTACCACCTGTACAGCAATGAGCAGCAGTCGTGCATTCTCTCAACTCCCGTACCACCTGTACAGCAATGAGCAGCAGTCGTGCATTCTCTCAACTCCCATACCACCTGTACAGCAATGGGCAGCAGTCGTGCATTCTCTCAACTCCCATACCACCTGTACAGCAATGGGCAGCAGTCGTGCATTCTCTCAACTCCCGTACCACCTGTACAGCAATGAGCAGCAGTCGTGCATTCTCTCAACTCCCGTACCACCTGTACAGCAATGAGCAGCAGTCGTGCATTCTCTCAACTCCCGTACCACCTGTACAGCAATGAGCAGCAGTCGTGCATTCTCTCAACTCCCGTGCCACCTGTACAGCAATGAGCAGCAGTCGTGCATTCTCTCAACTCCCGTACCACCTGTACAGCAATGAGCAGCAGTCGTGCATTCTCTCAACTCCCGTACCACCTGTACAGCAATGAGCAGCAGTCGTGCATTCTCTCAACTCCCGTACCACCTGTACAGCAATGAGCAGCAGTCGTGCATTCTCTCAACTCCCGTACCACCTGTACAGCAATGAGCAGCAGTCGTGCATTCTCTCAACTCCCGTACCACCTGTACAGCAATGAGCAGCAGTCGTGCATTCTCTCAACTCCCATACCACCTGTACAGCAATGGGCAGCAGTCGTGCATTCTCTCAACTCCCATACCACCTGTACAGCAATGGGCAGCAGTCGTGCATTCTCTCAACTCCCGTACCACCTGTACAGCAATGAGCAGCAGTCGTGCATTCTCTCAACTCCCGTACCACCTGTACAGCAATGAGCAGCAGTCGTGCATTCTCTCAACTCCCGTACCACCTGTACAGCAATGAGCAGCAGTCGTGCATTCTCTCAACTCCCGTGCCACCTGTACAGCAATGAGCAGCAGTCGTGCATTCTCTCAACTCCCGTACCACCTGTACAGCAATGAGCAGCAGTCGTGCATTCTCTCAACTCCCGTACCACCTGTACAGCAATGAGCAGCAGTCGTGCATTCTCTCAACTCCCGTACCACCTGTACAGCAATGAGCAGCAGTCGTGCATTCTCTCAACTCCCGTACCACCTGTACAGCAATGAGCAGCAGTCGTGCATTCTCTCAACTCCCGTACCACCTGTACAGCAATGAGCAGCAGTCGTGCATTCTCTCAACTCCCGTACCACCTGTACAGCAATGAGCAGCAGTCGTGCATTCTCTCAACTCCCATACCACCTGTACAGCAATGGGCAGCAGTCGTGCATTCTCTCAACTCCCATACCACCTGTACAGCAATGGGCAGCAGTCGTGCATTCTCTCAACTCCCGTACCACCTGTACAGCAATGAGCAGCAGTCGTGCATTCTCTCAACTCCCGTACCACCTGTACAGCAATGAGCAGCAGTCGTGCATTCTCTCAACTCCCGTACCACCTGTACAGCAATGAGCAGCAGTCGTGCATTCTCTCAACTCCCGTGCCACCTGTACAGCAATGAGCAGCAGTCGTGCATTCTCTCAACTCCCGTACCACCTGTACAGCAATGAGCAGCAGTCGTGCATTCTCTCAACTCCCGTACCACCTGTACAGCAATGAGCAGCAGTCGTGCATTCTCTCAACTCCCGTACCACCTGTACAGCAATGAGCAGCAGTCGTGCATTCTCTCAACTCCCGTACCACCTGTACAGCAATGAGCAGCAGTCGTGCATTCTCTCAACTCCCGTACCACCTGTACAGCAATGAGCAGCAGTCGTGCATTCTCTCAACTCCCATACCACCTGTACAGCAATGGGCAGCAGTCGTGCATTCTCTCAACTCCCATACCACCTGTACAGCAATGGGCAGCAGTCGTGCATTCTCTCAACTCCCGTACCACCTGTACAGCAATGAGCAGCAGTCGTGCATTCTCTCAACTCCCGTACCACCTGTACAGCAATGAGCAGCAGTCGTGCATTCTCTCAACTCCCGTACCACCTGTACAGCAATGAGCAGCAGTCGTGCATTCTCTCAACTCCCGTGCCACCTGTACAGCAATGAGCAGCAGTCGTGCATTCTCTCAACTCCCGTACCACCTGTACAGCAATGAGCAGCAGTCGTGCATTCTCTCAACTCCCGTACCACCTGTACAGCAATGAGCAGCAGTCGTGCATTCTCTCAACTCCCGTACCACCTGTACAGCAATGAGCAGCAGTCGTGCATTCTCTCAACTCCCGTACCACCTGTACAGCAATGAGCAGCAGTCGTGCATTCTCTCAACTCCCGTACCACCTGTACAGCAATGAGCAGCAGTCGTGCATTCTCTCAACTCCCGTACCACCTGTACAGCAATGAGCAGCAGTCGTGCATTCTCTCAACTCCCATACCACCTGTACAGCAATGGGCAGCAGTCGTGCATTCTCTCAACTCCCGTACCACCTGTACAGCAATGAGCAGCAGTCGTGCATTCTCTCAACTCCCGTACCACCTGTACAGCAATGAGCAGCAGTCGTGCATTCTCTCAACTCCCGTACCACCTGTACAGCAATGAGCAGCAGTCGTGCATTCTCTCAACTCCCGTACCACCTGTACAGCAATGAGCAGCAGTCGTGCATTCTCTCAACTCCCGTACCACCTGTACAGCAATGAGCAGCAGTCGTGCATTCTCTCAACTCCCATACCACCTGTACAGCAATGGGCAGCAGTCGTGCATTCTCTCAACTCCCGTACCACCTGTACAGCAATGAGCAGCAGTCGTGCATTCTCTCAACTCCCGTACCACCTGTACAGCAATGGGCAGCAGTCGTGCATTCTCTCAACTCCCGTACCACCTGTACAGCAATGAGCAGCAGTCGTGCATTCTCTCAACTCCCGTACCACCTGTACAGCAATGAGCAGCAGTCGTGCATTCTCTCAACTCCCGTACCACCTGTACAGCAATGAGCAGCAGTCGTGCATTCTCTCAACTCCCGTGCCACCTGTACAGCAATGAGCAGCAGTCGTGCATTCTCTCAACTCCCGTACCACCTGTACAGCAATGAGCAGCAGTCGTGCATTCTCTCAACTCCCGTACCACCTGTACAGCAATGAGCAGCAGTCGTGCATTCTCTCAACTCCCGTACCACCTGTACAGCAATGAGCAGCAGTCGTGCATTCTCTCAACTCCCGTACCACCTGTACAGCAATGAGCAGCAGTCGTGCATTCTCTCAACTCCCGTACCACCTGTACAGCAATGAGCAGCAGTCGTGCATTCTCTCAACTCCCGTACCACCTGTACAGCAATGAGCAGCAGTCGTGCATTCTCTCAACTCCCATACCACCTGTACAGCAATGGGCAGCAGTCGTGCATTCTCTCAACTCCCGTACCACCTGTACAGCAATGAGCAGCAGTCGTGCATTCTCTCAACTCCCGTACCACCTGTACAGCAATGAGCAGCAGTCGTGCATTCTCTCAACTCCCGTACCACCTGTACAGCAATGAGCAGCAGTCGTGCATTCTCTCAACTCCCGTACCACCTGTACAGCAATGAGCAGCAGTCGTGCATTCTCTCAACTCCCGTACCACCTGTACAGCAATGAGCAGCAGTCGTGCATTCTCTCAACTCCCATACCACCTGTACAGCAATGGGCAGCAGTCGTGCATTCTCTCAACTCCCGTACCACCTGTACAGCAATGAGCAGCAGTCGTGCATTCTCTCAACTCCCGTACCACCTGTACAGCTTGACAACAGTGTATACCGTTTAACGGTCACCAATCATACAAGGCAGTGGGGTCACCAGTCATACAAGGCAGTGGGGTCACCAGTCATACAAGGCAGTGAACTTTAAGGGCGAAGAAGAGGGTGTGTGACTTACAATCGAGCATGACATCCTGCTGATGTGAATATGAATTATGGCTCAGACGTGAACATTGGGATTTGAATGCAGCACCCTGTCTTTCCGATACAGGGCGATACCGATTAGGCTACCGGGGATCACACACACGCACGCACACACGCACACACACACACACACACACACACACACACACACACACACACACACACACACACACACACACACACCCGTGGCTCTTTCTTGCTACAGTAGAAATCAACTTTCAATGCTGTATCCATGGTCACCTTCCAAGGCGTTATTACCAACACTGTCTGTGTGTGCACGTGTCTTGTGTGACAGACTCTGGCCATAGCAGTGCTGAGGACGCCATTGTTGCCATGGAAATCATGGTGCAGAAGATCAAGGAAGATATACGCAAGTCATCGCGCAAGTCCTCCACAGTTCTGGTGCGCAAAACAGGATTCTAATGGTGAGCGTCTGCAGTCTTGCACCCAGGCTGGGCCGCACACACAACCTATATCCCCGGCAATGACAATATCAACAACGCTGGTGTGTCAGGCTGATGCTGTGTGGTGGGAACAAGCGTGTGCATCTATTGGTGGGAACAAGCGTGTGCATCTATTGGTGCAGCTGTGCACAGTGCATTGTTATGCGTTTGAAAGCAAGGTACGGTCGGTTGTTGTCGTTCTGTATTGAGGCTGTATGTTGTTCATGTAGTTGTTACCTTGATAGCAGTTATGCATATGCTGTAATACCATGCACCCTGGCAAAGAGCTAGTTGTGAACTGTGCATGTGAATAAAATCACATCACACTGCTATACCCCACATAACTAATACTCAATGTAGACCTCCGTTGGAGAAGGCTGGCTCCTTTTCATCCATAATGTTGTCAGCAGGCATCCGTAAAGGCATCTATCAAGCACTATGGACTGCTTAGCTGCACTCAGAGCTAACCTGGAGTACTAGGGATTGCTTAGCTGCATCCAGAGCTAACCTGGAATGCAGTTGCAACGTGTTACTTCTGCTTGGCACGCTCTAAACGTGCCGCCGTATTTATTCTCACCAGTGCAGCCTCTCCTGGGGCCGTGCTGGTCCTGCAGGCTGTGTTGGCATTCAGACAACCAACGTATGCCAGGTGATGCTGCTGCTGCTGCTGTGTTATACAGCTGAGAGTTTCCTGGCAGCATGTAAACTACAATGTGATATCACTTGTTTTTTACATAATGCTTGTGTTCTTTCCCCATTGATCAGCTGTATAGCGTGTTTCAACGTTGATTTTCGTGAAATTTCTTATTTTTCTTGTGTTCTCTTAGTGCAGTATAACGATAGGCAGCTATTTTTACCGTTCTACTTTTGATTCCATAGCAGTTTTTGTAGTTTTTGGAAAGGTTTTGCTCTTCGCCCACTGTTTTACGTTCAACATGCACGTTTGTCGTGCAGAGTTTTAACCTTGATGAACCCCACAGTGGGCAACCTCACACTATTTCAGTGCTACGTGTAATTCATGAAATCATGTTCAGTATGACAACAGCAGCAGCAGCAGCAGTATGCCAGATATCATTACTTTCATTGTGCTAGAAATTATCAAGTCGCTCCTACGGGAACGTGTGCTAATTCAAGCTGTGCAGAAACGCATTCAAAGCTCACCATCTTATAAGTCACGGATAAGCAACAGCATGTTGGTACCGGGCGCAGGCAATCTTTTAGGGAGTTCCCCCAAAGCAGATTATCACGACAGGCAAGATCTAGATCCACTCAAAGTACTAGTGTAATGTGGTGCTATAAGAATGAGACTAGGGTTGCTGGGCATGCATGTCAAATTCAGATCAAATCTTACTCTCATGCTTATCAGGATCAGGATACATTCAGATGAGGTGGATCTGAGTCAGACGCTACGACACTGGTCACACACGTCGTGTATAGGAGTTCTCCGTCAAGTAATGCCATCGTTTTGCAAATGGTATGAGTATGCCATGCTGCACTGTGCAGCCCGGGACCGGCCAGTGTCAGGTGCTTAGTCAACCTCCGGTACGACCAAGAGTTCCAAGATATCGCTTTCGCTGGCAAAGGCTTCGCTAATACGCTGCACTGCGTCAGCATGTGTGCAGCCCTTCACAGCAATGCCATCGACTGCTTTGATCTCGAATCCAGGCTGCAAATGAAATGTGCAGGGCACATAAGAACAAAGAAGTTGTGAATCAAAACCGACGTCTTGGGTCACTTTGTGTCAATTCGTGATGTACATGTATGTTGATCCTAGTTAGTGTGGTGAATCGCTGATCTGCCAATATTGTGGACTTGTGTATTCAAGTACACCACTGCCGCATGCTCAGATTGGCTGAACAGTGGGGACACTGGTGGTGTCTGTCCGAGTATCCTGCTCAACTGCATCTGTGTTCTGCCTTATACCATCTGTGTTCTGCCTTATACCATCTGTGTTCTGCTCAACAGCATTTGTGGTCTGCTTTTGAGCATCTTTGTTCTGCTTTTGAGCATCTGTGTTCTGTAATGTCACACCACTCACCTGCAAGAAGCCGTCCTCTGCAGCCAGCCCGCCCTCTATGATGGAGGAGATTGTCACTTCAGGTTGTTTAGTGTCCACACCACCTTCAATGCTGATACCTATAGACACAAGTAGTGAATGCAAGTAAACCAAGTGGGACCATTGTCATCAGGTTTAGGCTTGTTTTGGAACTCCACTCTAAATAAAGCCAAACAACAAGCAACAACAACAACAACCGGTATGTAGATGACAATGAACTGGTCAGCGTTGCAGTGAAGTAATGGTTTCAGTGAGTGCACAACAATGCAACTCAGGTTCAGATTGGTTTTCTCTTCAGCTCTATGTATTTTGCTTCCCATCTAATAGTCTCTTGACATACCAAGCACTTCTACTTTCGCATACAGTTGCATCATGTTGGCTGAGTGTGTTCAAGATCAGAGTTCAACGTGTTTGTCACTTGTTCACTAGTTCTGCTGCTGCTGCTGCTGCTGCTGCTGGCTTACACAACAAGACACAGTGATGAAGAGAGCTGCTTACCGAGTTTTGATTTGGTCTTCATCAGCTCTACCAGGATCTCTGTCGCAAACGAATGTTTCTTCTTTGAGGAGCCTCTCTTCCGTACACCTTCATGAGCATCATTCCAAGCAACGAAAGAGTCCTTGCGTCGAACTCTCTGCTCCACATCTTCTCTGTGGAGATTAAACGAACAGAAGAGGACCACAGTGCAAACATTTTGTCACGCATTGATATTCATTGTGTATGCATGTGTCCCTTGCTTGCCGCTTGCTCGATCCTCATACCGCCCGGGCAGTCTGTGTCTTTATCCAACCGCAGCCTAAATATGCGTGTTTGTCACTTGACTGGTGAAATCGGAATGGCTTGCTACCTTGCTAGATGTGCGTGAGTGTCATGGCTGCGGACCTGAGGACAAGGCGCAGTGTAGTGTGTAAACTGCAACACTCCTTACAGACTGGACTGGAACATGTTGCTAGGCAGAACCTACTGCAGTACATGTAGCTGCTAGCAATGATGATACTACAGCACATATGACGTAGTCATGTAGCTGGTAGCAATGATGACAGTGCTCCTCAGACAAGAGGCAGAGCCACATCTCATAAAGCACCGAACATGGCAGTCTGTTTGGTTCCAGTACTGCAGTTACCATAATCGTGATCATTGCTGGCTATTCCCACAGTGCCGTGACAGCCAATGAATCAAATCCCCAAACAACCCACTCTGTGCCACTCCGTCCCTCTCCTTCCCACTGCGTCTCACTCTGTCTCACTCTGTACTACTTACTCGTGTATGGATCGGCCACGCTCCAACATTTTCTGTGCAGCTGAACTTTGAAACATGCCACCACCACCACCACCACCACCACCACCACCGCTTGTTCTCGACGGTCGGTTGCTGGATGCTGACGGAGATCCCTCCATTTGGCCTGGACTTGATAGAACCTTTCTGAGCTGAGGTCTGCCAGCTACAAACACAGAGAAACACAATGCCAGTCCCATTATCAGATTCTGTATGTTTTCAACTTTTCACCCTCACACACCCCGCACACACACACACCCCGCACACACACAACCTGGGACCAGTACTGTAGGTCTGCAAGAATATTTCCCATAACGAGACGACCACAGGCGAGCTTCTTGTCTAGGCGTGTCCAAGGTGTTCATTATTACATCGTCATGATTTGTGTATGACGTCACTATGATTCATGCATGGCATCATCATCATGCCTTGACCAATGTTGCTTACACTGTATGGCGGAGAATAGTTGCCCATGCTCTGGTGACTTGGGCGCTGGCTTCACTTCTTTTGCTGTGCACGGGGTGAAGAAACAACGTGGTTGAATTATATCAGTCACAGACAATGCATGGCTTTGCAAACAGTGGGACAACAAGTGCTTTCCTAAGAGTATTGTTTACCGTGTACGTTAACCCTTTACCGGCAGCCCCATACTTGAATGCGTCAACGTTGTTGACGCATTCGACATGCATCCAAAACCATGCCTGGCATGACAGGAAGCATCAGCCCACGGGGATTTCCCGTGGCCCTCACACAGCCAAGGTATGATCCTATCGGTAGCTGAAGAGATCCACGCGTGTCCCATTTGATTTCATTGAGAACTGCGCGATCGAAAACTTACGGAAATACACCCGCGCTGATAATGCCGTCCGCCTCCGTCAAAACATCGTCAGGTGCATTTTCTCTTGCGCAGTGAGTTCCTTTCGTCCTCGGATGACTTCTCCGACGAGGACCTAGCAGTCATTCGCTCTGGGACCGACGGCAGATAGATAAATACTTCGTTCCAGCCGCCGATGCAAGCGAATTTCAAATTACAGAGCGGGGCGCACGCCAAGTAAATTCTCACGCAAATATGGGGAGCGCCAGCCGCTGAAGACGATGTCGTCGTGATGTACCTGGAAGAAGCTGATGGTGCTTATGGTGGGGAAGCCATGGAGAGCGATTCCCGTGTCGACAGTCTCCCAGAGACGGATTTTAGGCCATCAACTTTCTACGTACCTGAGTGACGGCAGCGCAGCGCGGCGTGCGACCGTACGGAGCTTTCCGACAGCGATTCTGGGGCGATGCTGCTCTCATTTGCGAGCGAGGCATGGCCACTGAAGTTTGTGATGGCTATGGCGTTTGTTTCCGCTCCGAAGTCGACTTGTTTTGGCAGTATCATGTCAATGTCGGAACTCTGACGATTTGCATGTGTACAATTTCTGTGTTTAGACGTAGAGGTGCCAATTTAGCAGCGTATGTGTGTGGTATGAGAAAATAAATTTGTCCATGGTTAAGAAGTAGTACTAGACTTCCAAGAAAACATAACTTGCACATACAAAATGTGGCCTAGTTGTGAGTTATTGGCATCCTTCTAAATGTTATGGATTTCACATACAAAAGTAACTTGCCGGTATTAAAAGGGTTAATCTTACATTTCCATACAAACTCCCTCAAACTCATGAACTGTATGGAAATTTAAAAAAATATTTTACTGTACCCTTAAAAAGGGTGGTGGAGTTCCTACAGATGGGAAAATGCTGTATGTGAGGACCTTTCCACCCCTACACAGCAGCACACATGCAGGTGCAGTGCATGACTGCATGGTTGTAGCCACAGTGTGGCAACAGCACTGTGTACATGACTGCATGGTCTCCGTACCTTCTGCTCCGGGCCCTACTGCTGGCCGTGTTTTGTTACGCTCCATCATAGCCTCCATCTCACGTTTAGACACCAGCTCATCAAACTGTTGAATGTGCTGTACATTGATCAGGGACCTACAATACCGAATCACAGTGGTAACAGCAACACACACACATACAGCCCTAAATACAGACATACTGCTGCTGAGCATTACACTACACAGTTATGGGGAAACTGCACCATACTATGCCTATGCAGAGCATTGTGGAGTTCACACGTTCTTGCATGTGCTCGTATGTGTATCATCAGTGTGGCATCAAGACTCAGCCAGTATGGTGTAGGCACTCAGCCAGTATGGTGACTCAGCCAGTATGGTGTAGGCACTTCCCGAGACTCAGCCAGAATGGTGTAGGCACTTGACTCAGCCAGTATGGTGTAGGCACTTCCCGAGTAGAAAAACATTACTCTTGACCATCAGTCACAGCCACATACAGTTTGACTGAGTAATTTCTTGATGTACCACAGCTTACCGAATATCACGCAGCAGTTCAACTTTCTTGGACGTGTTTAGAAGTGGCAGCAGAGCTGTGGTGAAGTCTACAATACTCTGGTCTTCCTCATACTGTTGCAAGGAACAGTTGCACACACACACACAGAATATGGAAAGACAATAGTTGTTCAGCCATCAAGTCAAAACGCAATACCAACAAGAGTGCACCATCCGTACCTATAAGACTAGGGGCTATTGTAGCAAGTGCTTCACTGCCAGTGCAGCCGGGGTATGTGTCAGATTGGGATGGACATTTTGCAAGAATCCTCCTCATTCGTAGAAGAGATGTTCAAGGAAAAGAAGAGAACGAGAGAGAAAGAGAAAGAGGAGGGAGAGATAGTCAGGGGTACCAGAGGGAGAAGATACCGGTAATGCTGTCTCACCCTCTTTAGGTTCAGCCATAGCGCTCCACACTCTGCTTCTGTCATACAACTTGCTGACGATGTTTCCAGTACTGTCTGAGCTTGTTTGCTTGCCTGCGCTGCCATAGACGTCAGCATTACTTGTGACCCAAGACCACGTGAGAAGAATGGCGAGCCACCGCCTCCACTACCAGTGGCAGTGGTGGCAGTGATTTGTGATGGCGGCGCAGGTCTGAAAAGAACAGATATTTGAGTAGAACAGTCACGCACAATGAAACTGCAAGACGCCTCACCCTCACTTCTGAGTGATACAATGTCATGTTTTAACGCCACTGTCTGTCAGCAGTGGGCAGGTATAGGTATACACAATACGATGAAATGATCTCAATCTTCGGGAGGTAGCTATTCGTCGTTGATGAGTTATTATCGTTGTCGGGTGTCTTTCGCGCTGCTACGTTCCGCTGTGTTGTGTGTCAGGGGTGCTCGGTCGGCCCGTCATCGTCCAGTTCACATGCTTCGTGAGTTGGCGATGGTGGAGGGTCGGGTTCCCCTGCAGTGATTGGTGCTGCGCCGAGCTAGTTTGGTGTGAAAGTGTAACTAATGTTATTATTCTTATATATACATCAAGTATTACTAAGTAATTGAGAGGCTTTGAATCGTTTTTATCAAAATCAAAATATTTGCCGGGTTGGAAGGTGGGATGAAATGATCACAACGATGGTGCTCCTTTCTAGGGGTGCGCTCCGGATGTCCGTTGAGAACACTATTGCTGAGTTGAGTGCCGCGTTCAAGCACTGGCTAGGAACAAACAAGTGAACAGGGCACAGTCTCACTCCCTTCCAGGGATACAGGCATGGGCGAGCAGCCACCGGGAAAAGCAGTTTTGCAGGTCTTCCTGATGGTTACCGCTAGCAACGCTACTGGCTTGTTACCATGACACTGGTAGTTACGCTGCTGGCTTGTTGCCATGACACTGGTAGTACCAGTGTCATGGTAAACGTATGTAGCAAGAAGGACCCATGAGTGAGTGTGCGTGATCCCCGGTAGCCCAATCGGTAGGGCACTGTCCCGGAAAGACAGGGGTGCTGGGTTCGAATCCCGTCCATAGATCCTTCTTTTGCAACACATGACATTGATGGTTACCATGACACTGGTAGTTACCATGCCATTCGTATCATAGCGGTAATGCTCAGAGCCACTTTGCTTGCCTACCATGCACTACTAGTACGTGTACATGGAACGTGTTACGAGCAACTGACTTTCTCGCTTACCTAGTTAGATCTTTGGGCTTTGTATCTGATGCATCACTTCCATCACCATCCTGACGTGACAGCTTGGGACTTGGACTGGTTGCCGACAGAGGTGGAGCGGCAGCTGATCCTCGTCGTCCGCTCAGCAATGGACTGGATTTTATTTGATTGTTCGGCAGAGCAGGAGCTGGTGGTGGGTCATTGCTGTTTGTCTTCTTTCTCATTGAGCTCACCAGCCGCTGTCCTACACCCAGAGCAGCTGACAGACCTCCAACACTCTTCCTCTTTGTCGTACTGACCTTCTCCATGTTCTCACGATCTTCTTCCTCGTCATGTTCTTCATCTGAATCACGACTTTGCGACTTGCTACGTGACCGTGAACGTCGTGTAGGCGTCTGTCCGTCTTCATAATCAGCCTTGGTGAGTGATCGCGAACGTCGTGACGGTAGTGTCATGGAACGCTGGCGTGATGATTTCTTGCTAGGAGATGCGCCATCATCTTCGTCATTGCCCTCTCGCTGTGATCGATTCGTTCCTCTCAGCATGTCCTGGAAACGACGCGACATGGTGTCTTTCTTCGGTGAGTCTGTGCTATTGCTTGCTGGTGTGGTGCTTGTGTCCGTTGGCGCGGGCCGTCTACTAGGCTCTGGTGTGGATGGTTTGGACGAGACGCGGAGAGAGGGTGACTGTCTCACATCTGGACTTGGATCTGTAAGGACAGCCATGGGAATCAGCACAAAAACAGCAATGTCCATTGTTACAGTTGTTTTTGCAACATGTAGAAAACCAGGTCAGTTCTGAGTCATGATTAGCCATGGCAATTGACCCATTGCGCATTGCCAAATATGGAATGTATGAGTAATGCTTGTGAGTACGCTGGGATCAGGAATGCACTGTTCAACACGCCAGACGACCATACCCAGGTGGCTGTGAAGGGTGTTTATGGCACAAATTATGTCATTGCGCAATAGGTCCATTGGAACACCTGCTACACAGGTACCGTGATGTCCCAGTCATGTGACTACTAACTCAATGGACACATGCACATAGCTACAGTGCTACACTGATTGGAATGACTCACCCTCTGGCTCAGGATCCATGCCAGCTGGCTCTATCCACTTTAGCTGGCCATCAGTAGAGCGACCAGCAAGTGGAATTCTGCCCATAGCCTGTTACAGAATAGCAGCACACCACAACACACCACAGCACACCACAGCACACAGGCTCGCATCACTGATTCGGTATGTATCCATATTACAGCAAAGACATGTTGAACAGTACATTTGGTATGTATCCATGACAGCAAAGGCCGCATGTTGAACAGTACATTTGACAGCCTGCTTGGAAGTACGCAATAACACGTTCTTCTCCCATCATCACCACCACCACCACCACCATCAATCACTGTTTTACTGGGAAGAGGCAGTACTTTATAATCATCACAATCAACAGCCTGACCTGATAACCAGGGAGTGCCCTGGCCAAAGAGCAGAGTGGCAGCGGGAGAAATGGTTTACCGTATTAAACGTTATCGAAAATGCTTTTACAATGCATTTTCAATAATGTTATGTCACTGATGAGTGCCGTGAAAGGTTCAATGAGGTATTTAGAAGGTAAGGGTTGTGCGCAACCCACCCGGCATACTGCTCTCTACTTCATACAATCATTGTGTATGCCAGCATCTCTGAACTGATTTTGAACCACTGGTCACCTGAGGTCTCCCGGGGAGTGCTTCTCCAGCGGTAGTGTTCACTAAAGATTAAAAACACAGTAGACCTGCACTTATCGTGGGATCCCCTTTGAGCACGGGTCCACACGGGATGTGTGGATATGTAGCAAGGTACATGTGTGGATTAGTGAAGTCTGTACTGATCTATAGTCTGTACTGATCTATAGTCTATACTAGGGGTGAAAGTTGGCACTGAGATCCCGAGTTCGAGTACTCTGATTTTCTCCGATCGAATATTCGAGTATTCGAGTATTCTTGATATCCTAAAAATCGCACACCAAGGGCCTTAACAATCACATGGTACAACCCTGTTTGAACAAATTGGCAGTCCTTTTCTCCGGTGTATTGATTGGTGGGTCATTTGGGCTCTCTCTACTCCTGTACAAATGCTCACCACACACTCTGCACATCAATATCTGCTGACTGCTGCTCTGAAACTGCAGACTTCTGTGGTAAATGCATGTACCATGTATGAGCGAGTACTCTGATTTATTCCGAGTACGATTAAAGTTGAAAAATCCAAACGAGTATTCGAATATTCGGTATAATTGTTTCACCCCTAGTCTATACTGATCTATAGTCTATACTGATCTATAGTCTATACTGATCTATAGTCTATACTGATCTATAGTCTGTACTGATCTATAGTCTATACTATACTACAGTATACTGTATACTGATTCTATAGCCATTCAGTGCAGCACATTTTGCCCGCATTTCCTTCCATTCAAGGGACCACTTGTTCGAGAGCAAATTACGGATAAGTGAAGGACGGATACCTGTATGTGAGCCGGTGTGCTCTGCTCACAAAACAATGTAACAGCATGTACACGTAGCTATGCCGAATGGAAAATAGACTAGTAACCAACCTTGACCGTCATCATCAGCAGAGGGCTCTGTTTCAACTTCATGATAGCATCTGCGTGACCAATGTCCAGAAAGCTTACGCCATTCACGTCCAGAATCTGGTCACCAAGTTGCAGACCATGCTTTGCTGCCTGTGATCGGTCTTCCACACTGAGCAATGATACAGAGGTAACCGTGGGAACATTAACATATGTAGCCATGGGAACAGTGATAAGGATAACCGTGGGAACAATGGTAAGGGTAGCCGTGGGAACAACGATACAGGTAACCATGGTAACACTGATAAGGGTAACCGTGGGAATAATGATAAGAATAACATGGGAACAAGTCATTTAAAAAACTTTCAACTAGCAAGTCCATGATCGGTGGCTCCATCACTTGAATCCACAAAGCACTCTTGACTAGCCCACTCCACTTGTACATCACCATCCCCGTACCGAGGACAATTCTCTTGATTGGAATTGCCAAACTCTAGTCCCACACAGCTGCTTTGCTCAAACATACTGGTAGCTCATCCGTGGAGGTAGTAGATATGGATGACTTTGAGCTCAATTTCATCCGTCGGGGGATTTTGTATCATTGTCTACTAATGAGGTTTGTCTTGTAACCAATGCCGTACTAACAAGGTTAGGATAGACCTATAGTAAGTTCAAACCAGGCAGGAGTACTGAAGGCGGATAACTTACTGAGAGATGAAAATTCCCACACTATGTTCCTTGCCACCGCGTATAGCGATGCCCAGCGGATGGCCTGGTTCCACGGGAAGATTGACTTTGCGCACGTCAATCGATCCACCTCCCATCCGCAGCTCACTCAGAGCATGAAGGGATGCATGCTGCACCATAGAAATGTACACACAGCAAACTGACTCACGGTATGTACATGACTGTATACATGAAGTTCCCTCTGCACTTCAGGCAGTATCGTTATTCACCATTGCATCATGATGATGTCATAATTACATCATCATTTAAGAGCAGCAGGTTAATCTTGCACATACATGTGGCATGCCATCATAATCACTGCAGTGCATACAATGATGTCATCGTGACATCACTCTGCTGTAATCATGCCGGATAGCTGCTGCGAATCTGCGACTACTGGGACAAAGACACTGCAATTGCACTCATCAGTTCTTACCGCATCCAAATCTGAATCTCTGCCATTTTCTTGGGGCTCGGTGGCTGCAACTGGCAGAGAACCAATACTGCCTGTCCGTTCCGATATCTGGGGACTGGACCTTGATCTCCTGAGCAGCCCAGGAACAGATAACATGAACAGTGCAGTCGCTATATTGGCAGTCCGAGTAGTGTTCAGTCTAGTGTTCAGTCTAGTGTTCAGTCTAGTGTTGAGTTTAGTGTTCAACTACTAGTCATGTAACCTTACACTGGCTTTGAGATCCATTAGAGTTGGTACAGTAAGCCATGTACTTACATGTGATTACGATCAGGCTGAACAGAACACTCGGATGCTCATCCATTCATGCATGTGTATTTTCAACGAGTCACATGCATGAACCGCTGAATGAACCGCTGCATGAACCGCTGCATGAACCGATGCATGAACCGATGCATGAACCGCTGCATGAACCGATGCATGTAGCAACATGATTATGAAGCTACATGTATGTACTGTAGTACTGTAGTACTGTAGTACTGTAGTGTGGCATTGGCATCGCTCTGCTCAATGAAAGCCAGGCTCATGGCTCATGAGTATACGTGCTGTAAAGGTTATCCGGTGCTTCAGTCACACAACCGAGGACTTACCTCTTGTTACCCGTCTCTTCCACTCGTAGCTGTGCAGCCCTACTACCCCCAGCGGGACGTTTAGCCGGACGTACCAACAGCACAATACGACCAGGGCTTTTCAACACTTTCACGGCTGTAGAGTGGGCAACGTGCTCAAAATTCATGCCATTGACATCCAGTAGTCGATCCCCAACACGTAGACCACTGCGTTCGGCCAGTGAACCTGGGTCCAGGGTTGACACATACACTCCCATACCATGCTCCCGACCACCGCAGATACTGAATCCAAGTGATTGTCTATCACTCATTCTGTTCAGTGTGACCTGGCGTAGCTGCTGCACTGGTTGTTCTCTGTGATTCCCAGCTGCACTGCCCGCCATACTACCACCTGCATCTGTACTGCCTACAGCATTACCCGCGCTGCTGGCATTGCCGGAGCGAAGCTGATCCCGACGTTGCAATGTGGCCTGCTTCACCGGTGGGTTTGCCATCTTCTTGAACGGTGCAACCACGTCAAACCTCTCCACATCTTTCTCGTCAATGATATCTCGCACACCGTTGAGTAGATCAAGCTTGACGGGAGTGTCCAGTACGGACAACAGACACAGTACTAAACCATCCACGTTACGATACTGCCAGTATTCATTCAGAACATAGTTGAAATAGTCGTTGTCGTCCTGGCTGAGGATCTGCTGCGCTTTGGCCTGCAGGCGACGTAGGTCATGGCTGTTAGCGGACGCATCCATAGCGGCCGCAGACCTTCACGACGGACGAGGGGTGAAAGCGCTAGCGAGACACCACAATGATGCTCTTCTGCACTGAAGATGCGGTGAGCCAGTCGGAGACTTTTCCTGCACGCCGGAAGGTGACGAACACGGACCTCGGTGAACTCACACAGTCGAGTCAGGGCGAGGTCAAATGCCTTCGCCTAAACGAAGTCCACAAACTAGTAGTACAAACACACACACCCGCCTCGAACTGACCGTGTCGTGCTGTTACTCGTTGAGAAGAAAGCAATGTCTCAAGTTCGAATTGCAAAGACCCCTGGTGAGGAGAGGGACAGGCGTTGATGATGACCACGAGGAGGAGTAGGAGGGAGAGGAGCTGGGAAGAGAAGATTGAGCAGAATCACTGATTGTCGGGAATATCTCGTTCAGTGAACTGACAGTTACAGCAAGTCGAACACAACCGCACAGATAAGAGGCTGCGATACTCAGTCTGTACTTGCTGTTGCAGGCCCTACCAGAATTGGACTACGGCTTCATTCCTGTGCTACGCACTCCGCGGCTAGGCGCGTCCCACAGTTAGCGTGGCAGCCGACAAGAACACGACCATCGGTATCGACTTGTTCCTGAATGCAGCTTACTCTCTCTCGATCCACGAAAGCTTTGTTTGGTCTCGACAAAATATAGAGTTCGTCGTTCTCGACATGTAGTCTATTGTAGACTTTACATGCAGCTCTTTCCTGATGCCGAGCGATTTGAAACCCCGTAGTACTAGTAGGCTGTAGTATGAAACGTCTACCGGTGGACACTGGCATGTAGTACGAGTGTCCATGTCCTGAGTCTGTAGACTGTGGGACTGGTGCAGGTGTGTGTGTTCATGCCGCTGCGGCTCAGTGCTGTTGGTGTTACTGCTGCTGCTGCCTTGGCCAGTACAAGGGGAGTGTAACGTTTGGCCAATACCCATTGGCATTGTACTGACTGTTGTCGCTACTCATAGACGGTCATGTGCTCCGAGACAGATGATCTCGAACATTCAACGGACCGTCGGCGAGCTAACATCTCCAAGGACGCGTCACACATGCAGACATGCCACACCGTACATGGCGATATCCGTGAGGGTTACTTCCAACATCCAGGCCATGCCGGGCTGGCAGTGCATTGGACAAATATTTTTTTGTAGGCTGCTACAGTACTACACTCTACAGTAGCAGCAGTATTTTTACCTACATGATAGTTGCTACCGACATGATACCATGGATACCGACATGAGGACCACCAAGGACATCTGACTTGCACGTCGACGTCGTCTGTCAGCACTGGCGCTGGGGCCTCAGGAGTGAGCCTGACTCCTGCCTGTGGCGAGATCACGAGCACGACCCACCTCCAACTGAATTACTTGAGAGTCTAGTGGAGTACCACGACTGCATGTAACATATATAGCAAAGAGTCATGTTATTCAATAATTTCATTGTGACGTTGGTTGACAAGCTGACAAAGTGGCTTGTCTCTGAGCCGGGATTACTGGCAAGTGACACCAAGTCCAAGGACGGTAACCATTGGTGATGGACACCAGATGTCACTCCCCGTTTGGTATAGATACTGGTACTAGACGTAGACCTCTAAAATAGTCTAATCCACTTAGCGCATTTGTACTCCATAGTTCACAATGAACAACAAGACTTGGACTAAAAGTCTAGCTATAGTAATTAAATGCAGGACAGGCTGGCATGCTGCCGGCAGTCTCATCCAATCCTGATCTTACTCCGGATGAGGACTGCACTCTAGATTTGCTCGCTACCGAGTATCTTTCGTAGACCAACCGAAGCCAAAGCCAATGACACACAGTTGTTGATATGGATGACTGTGATGCTGTTTGCAGCGTTCACACTGCTATGGTCGCACTGTGATGCTCAGTTGCGATTACGCGCAAACTCAGCTGGCGACTACACAATCCTTCTGGATGAACAGCCACTTCTATATGGATCTGGTGTGGCTATCATCAGCGAGCAGGAGTGGTTTTCTAGCGATGCAAACCACACAGTCACTGATGACTCTAGCAGGCATGATGGCAAGGAAAATGCTCCAAAGCCTGTCGCTAAGAAATTAGTCCTGGCGAGCAGGAGACTGCGAAGTGATGTTGACTCCATAGGGGATTACAGTGGCTGGGAGGAAACCTGGAAGGCCGGCGATGTCACGTTTGTGACAATTGCAAAGACGTACCCACGTGTGGGAAACATCATTGCTTTCACATACAACATCACAAACACATCATTGACGGGAACGCACGGTGCCGACTCTGGTGACGTCATCACCAATTATCCGGTACTAAGGAAGGCCGAAGACTCGTTCCTTGAGCATGCCACGTATCTAGGCTGGCAGTCATCCCAAGTTCAAAATGCCATTGGTCCTGAAGAAGAGAGAAAAAACTATGGCATAACAACAGGTCCACGAGTTTATGTGAATAGCGCTGCACCAGTGAACACTGCGGGCGTCATCATACTGTCCGTGTTTGATCACTTCCTGAGCTCCAGTCAGACAAACACCCGCTACAATGGAGAGAAGGCTGACTGGATACCCGGTATAAGCCGCTCTGTCCTGAGCTTGCCGGCTGGATTCAATCAAACATTTCTAGTTTTCTATGGCCAGCATGGTCTGACACAGGCCATGCATGATTACGGGAAACTCATGCAGGCTACGCACTCCCCTAACGGCAAAGCCGCGAAACGTGCAGACCCGACTCTACAATACCTCGGCTATCAGACCGACAACGGAGCTATGTACTGTTACTGTACGGAGGGCTGTGTGCAGAAGCTGTTGAACGTCAAGGCCTACTTGGATGACATCAATGTTCCAATTCGTTATTTATCGCATCAAGGAGAATGGTGGCTGAAGGGAACTGATGTATCCTGGTGTGTTAGTGAGTGGGAACCGAATGCAGCGTACGCTGGCATGTCTGTCAAGGCATTTCGGGAGAAATTCGGCCTTCCGCTTCAGCTGTATGCGCCGTATTTTTGCAATGATACCAAGTATGCTAAGAGTAAGAGTAATGGAGGGAACTTCTCCATGTTGATCAGCAATGCATCACTATGTCATGGTGCTTTCATGACCAGCACACCAGAGCAGGCTTCTGTGTTCTACACTGCACTATTCACACTGGGCATCAGCATGGGAATGATGTCATACGAAATTGACTTCCTTACAGCCAATTACTATTGTGTATCAGCTCTGACGAAATCAGTGTCGGCTGCAGAGATGTGGATGGATGGTCTGAACCAAGCAGCTGTGGATAAAGATATTCCAATGCAATGGTGTCTGGCAGCATCTACAAATGTACTTCTCTCACTTTACTATCCCTACGTCACAAACATCAGAGCTAGCCGAGACTTCAGGAACGGTGTAAGCTATAAAGTGGGCTTCAGCTCTCTGTTGATGTGGTCCATGGGTGTAGCACCGTCCAAGGATACCTTCTGGACTACTGACAACATGCCACTTGCTACTCAAATCGGAGGCTGCAAGCCACAGGGCTGTCCAGCTGATCATACCAATGCTTCACTGGAGCTGCACACTATACTAGCTATCCTATCGACTGGCCCGGTTGGATTCAGCGATGCTCCAGGCATGACTAATAGATCTCTGATAATGCGCACTTGCCAGCAAAACGGCAGGCTACTGCAGCCAGCAAAGCCAGCCACTGCTCTTGATGCCACTATGAGCAGTAAACGAGCACCACAAAATGGCAGTATCTTTGGTACCTACTGCGGTAGGGGAAAGCAGACGGTGGCGTTCATTCTGGTATCTTTCCAGCTGACGGCAAGTTGGATGCTTACAGCCGCTGATCTTTGGTTACCATCTGGCAACCTGGCTACACTGTGTAATACGACTAGACCAGGCCAGTCCGGGTCAGACAGTGATGTCGGGTCAGACAGTGATGTCGGGTCAGACAGTGATGTCGGGTCAGACAGTGATGTCGGGTCAGACAGTGATGTCGCTGACTCTGTGTTGTTGGTGTATCGTGTACGATGGAATGAACCGCCGTGCATCACTGGTCATGCAGCCAGCCAGTGTGTGAATACTGCCACTGTCCCGACAACAGATGATGGCTCTGCTGAGATTTTGACAATACCAGCCAGTCCAAAAGATGGAAGTTTCACGCCATACCTGACAACCATCTGGCCAGTGATGTGCGACAATGGCTGGGTTCTTCTGGGCGAACTGGACAAGTACGTTCCAGTTGCGGAGAGTCGCTTTCCTTACATGTACGAGTGTACGGCGACAGGTTTGCAGGTAAACGTGCAAGGAAGTCCTAATGAGATTGTTAGTGTGACTGCGCTGGGCCCTCACGACGGTGTCCCAGCAGCATGGGTGTACGTCAAGAAGGTTGTGTTGGGAGAGACAGGCTCAACGCTCGTGCAGTTCTCTGCCACTATGGCCACAGACTGAGAACTCAGCGAGGCATGCAGTACAGGAGGAAGGTGTTGGATTACACTGCACTGATGCGTAGGCAACTGCTGCTTTGCCATAGTGATCACATTGAGTTACTCGGTAACCATGGTAGCTGGGTGTAGAGCTGAGTCCATGGCTACCTGCTGCTGCTCCAGCCTATCGGATTTGAGTTTTCTTTTTCCCTTTCATTCCCCTGTACATTTTTATTTTAAAATGAGGCTGAGTTTTCATGCTACACTACTCTACACTACTCTACACTACACTACACTACACTACACTACACTACACTACACTACACTACACTACACTACACTACACTACACTACACTACACTACACTACACTACACTACACTACACTACACTACACTACACTACACTACACTACACTACACTACACTACACTACACTACACTACACTACACTACACTACTCGTAGTATCACAAGTTCGAGTTACTTGTACATGTGCATGTTCTACACATTGTAGTGTGCATATAGTACTATTGTGTACAACAGCACTGCTCAATGTGGAAATCCCATCGAGTCACTCAAGTACGCGCCTGGCATTGCGCGGCTCTAGACCTGCGAACACTGGGCTGCGAAATGGTGCAAGGCGCAAACTTGACTCACACGATCAGACTTCATATTGAGCAGCACTGCGTACGTATACAGTCAACTTCACTAATAACGACTGCGGATATAACGACTGCGGATATAACGACTGCGGATATAACGACTGCGGATATAACGACTGCGGATATAACGACTGCGGATATAACCACTGCGGATATAACGACTGCGGATATAACGACTGCGGATATAACGACTGCGGATATAACCACTGCGGATATAACGACTGCGGATATAACGACTGCGGATATAACGACTGCGGATATAACGACTGCGGATATAACGACTGCGGATATAACGACTGCGGATATAAACGACTGCGGATATAACGACTGCGAATATAACGACTGCGAATATAACGACTGCGGATATAACGACTGCGGATATAACGACTGCGGATATAACGACTGCGGATATAACGACTGCGGATATAACGACTGCGGATATAACGACTGCGGATATAACGACTGCGGATATAACGACTGCGGATATAACGACTGCGGATATAACGACTGCGGATATAACGACTGCGGATATAACGACTGCGGATATAACGACTGCGGATATAACGACTGCGGATATAACGACTGCGGATATAACGACTGCGGATATAACGACTGCGGATATAACGACTGCGGATATAACGACTGCGGATATAACGACTGCGGATATAACGACTGCGGATATAACGACTGCGGATATAACGACAATTCGCGAATAACGACAGACTTTTCATGCCCAGAGCAAAGTCCATTCTACCTGCATACATTATAATGAGACTTCGGGTATAACGACACTTCGCGAATAAGGACACTTTTCTGGTACCCGACCGAGTGTCGTTATACGCAAAGTTGACTGTATGACATTGTAGAGATGGTACTATTGACATTGTACAATGTACACAGGGTCTGAATGCAGGGGTCTGAATGCAGGGGTGTAGCAGCTGGTCTGGCAGATCCGCCTTTGGCCGGACCACTTTTCCGCCCGACCACGCCCGGAATGCAGGATTTTGCACCCTAATTTCAAAATTTCCAGGGAGAGACTTCCCGTCGGCCCCCGACCCCCCAGCCGGACCACCTCCGACTGCGGTGCTACGTGCCTGGTATGGTCGATGATCCTGGGTCCCAGCTAGACCATGTAGACCTGAGTCTGTGGCTGTGTGCTCAGTAGCATGGCATCATGAGTACAGTCATAACCACTCTTGTCTTGATATCTGGGCCCCTTTCCGTGCTCCGACTGTCCGAGTCGGTCACCGTCAGGCCGGTCAGTGCCAGTGGTGGTCTCCATGCATAGTCACTATGCATGGTGACCATGCATGGTCACTATGCATGGTCACCATGCATAGTCACTATGAAGTATGATGACGAGTGCTGTGGTAGACTCTACCATGCCGTGGACTAGCCTGTCCTGCACTCCGGACTGAGTACCAGTATGTACACTATGATGTACATGTATGTGATTCGATCAGAGCCTTGAAAACAGCGCAGATGTGTAGAGCTACGGTAGCTTTAGTTATAGGTTAGTGCATGGCAGGGAGGGCCTTATGGCTTGTTAGTGCCCGACAGGTTAGCCTGAGGGCCGTAGGCCCGAGGGCTAACCTGAAGGGCACAAACAAGCCATAAGACCCTCCCTGCCATGCACTAACTATTTTAGAACGAGGTTACATGCATTATCTCACTTCCATTATGCTTGTGTACCACTATATTGGGTAGTTTTGTGGTTTGTGTGCAGAGAGACTTGGTGTGGTATGAAAGAATATTTTCTTCTAGGTAAGTTATGGTAACTCAGCACCACTTAGGACTACTAAAAGTAGAATGGAAGCAAATGAAATGCTGGGCTCTTATTGCGAGCTTCATTCTTATTCATACATGTATGTAGCTTGTGGAGCTATTTAGGGGCTTTGAGAGCCCCTTGTCGATAACTCTAATGACTTTGATCCTCGCTTTTTATAGGTTTCCGCAAGCTGTTGACAAAGAAAATTCGTACAGATGAAAGAATACGGGAGGCAAAAACCGTACACACTTCTGAATTGCGTAGCTTTTAGTAGTACACCGTACACGTTATGCAGAGTTCATTATCTGCACCGTACTATTATGCATACAGGGAGTTGTACGCACCAGTTTAGAGTATATTCAGCGGGCTTTAAACTAATCCAAGGCCCTCGACGCGTCATCAAGAGTAGTATTAATAACGATTGAGCGGGCTTTAAAGGGGAAGTTAAGGCAAAAATTAAAATTGCACCAGTTGTAGTCTTCGGGGTGCTGAGTCGAATGGTCGTGGTCCGAGGAAGCTGAGACGCTCCCTTCCTACTTGAATCCCAATCGAACTCGCGCACTTCCACTGAAACTGGGTGACTGCGCCCTACTATGGGGATTTGTATGCAAAATGTCACTAAAAGCGCCATTTCGTTCTTATAAAAGCACGGATGACGGCGATTGGCCCATATGTTGTAGTCTTTTGGATGCTTAGTCGACTGGTTTTGGTCCGAAAAGGCTGCGATGCAGCGTTCCTCCTTTATTCCCAATGGAACATGGTTGAACAAGTGGTCACGTGCTCCTGGGTGCCCAAATCACCTGGTCACCGTGCCTGCAGGGTACAACTTACTAGCCTGTTTGACCTTTTTTGGGTGCAGTCCTGTCACTCGAGTTGAACTCGAGTTGAACCTTGGTGTGAAAGTTGTCACCTGCTGGCGTGGTGACCAGGTGATTTGGGCACCCAGGACCACGTGACCGCTTCTTCAACCATGTTCGATTGGGAATAAAGGAGGAACGCTGCATCGCAGCCTTTTGGGACCAAAACCAGTCGACTCAGCGTCCAAAAGACTACAACATATGGGCCAATCGCGGTCATCCGTGCTTTTATAAGAACGAAATGGCGCTTTTAGTGACATTTTGCATACAAATCCCCATCTAGTAGGGCGCAGTCACCCAGTTTCGGTGGAAGTGCGCGAGTTCGATTGGGATTCAAGTAGGAAGGGAGCGTCTCAGCTTCCTCGGACCAAGACCATTCGACTCAGCACCCCGAAGACTACAACTGGTGAAATTTTAATTTTTGCCTTAACTTCCCCTTTAAACTCTGATAAGGCCCTTGGCGGGAATGTCGCTGATTGGTCGTTTCCTGGACAACGAGACAGACCTCGTTCTTATACATAATCATTGCAGCTACATGTACGTGTGATGTAGCTGCAAAAGCGATGCACTGACAGTGACACTGAACAAAAATTGCATTCATAATGTTCAAAATACCGGTAATCATGCGGCAATCATCATGATCAGTTTCATTTTATAGTTGTATTTTGTAGAGTTTGGACATAGCCAGTATTCGAAATGACGGACAGCGGGGATCCTAGCGATGGGTCTACCGCTGCTAGTAGCGATGAAGTGGATTACGGCGGTATCAGTGGCCTCCGGGAATTCTTCGGCGAGACTACCATGCACGGTGTTCAATACACATTTCGTGGTGGTCTCTTGCTGAGGTTCGTGTGGTTGTTGGGCGTGCTAGGGTGCCTGTGTGGGTTTTTCTACTTCTTCATAACGGCAGCGATCAACTACGCTGGTTTCCCATCCAACACTAAGGTTGATATCATTACAGCTGATTCCCTGCCCACTCCCGCTATCACCATCTGTAACTCCAACGTGGCACTAGCGTCGGGTGTGGCGAAATCCCTGCGCAATCTAGCTTTCCTGTGCCGAACATACAATCTGACGGTGATTGATGATGCTCGAGGTTGTCCGTTCACTGCGCAGCAGAGAGACACTCTTACCGAAAGTGATACAAGATTACCGGCAGAGATTATACAGGAGATCGGTCAGAGCAAAGAAAACATGGTGCTGGATGAGCTGGCGAGGAGCCTGTCAACCAATGGTACTGTTTATACATACGAGAACAGCAGCTCTTTCATTACATTCATCACAGCGCTTGGACTATGTCACACGTATAATGCTGACGGAAGATTCCCATATCAGACCACCATTGGTGTCAACGGTGGAAGAAGGTTCATCATCAACGTCAACCAGAACGAGTATGCTGGAATAACGTTACTCTCGGCTGGAGTTGAGGTATATATTCACAACCCTGGAGAGCTAGTGCGAAGAGGACAGCACGCTATCTATGTCGGTCCAGGACAACGAGCGAATATTGCTGTGAAGCCGGCGCGTCGTCACATCCTTGGCTCTCCCTACCGTACTCCACCGTGTACCAACGAGAATTTGAATCGTGACAAGTCCTTGCCGTATTCTCCTGCTCGCTGTGAGCTGGATTGTCAGAATCAGTACATTGCTGAAGAGTGTGAATGTCTGCCGCTCACCGTGTCCGCTGGCGTGACGTTGACATTACCATCGGGACGAAGAGTGTCTCGCTACTGCAGCGTGCAGGAATACTTCTCCTGCTCTTCGCTGTTGGATTATGCATTTCATAATAACGTGTCGGTGTACAGTGAGTGCAGGAGTAGGTGTCTGTTACCATGCGAGGCACCGCCTAACACCTATATCTATGGCTCCGCATTGTCGTGGGATCTGTTCCCGAACTTCATTGCGTCAGAGCTCATCATTGAAGTGCTCACAGATTTCGGACTCTATGACAACCCGCGCAATATAACTACCAACCTGCAACTGGTACGTGAGAACTTTGCACAAATTAACGTGTTTTACGAGAGCCTGTCGTATGAAAGGATCGATGAGCAAGTATCGGTCACTCTCTCGACTTTGTTTGGCAGTGTCGGCGGTAATCTTGGTCTGTTTATAGGTGCCAGTATGCTTACATTGCTAGAGTTTGGGCAGTACATCACGCGCTTCTTCATTGCCAGGTTCCGGCGCTTACGCAGACAAGAGAAGGATATCTGGCAGAAGGACGATGCGAGTAATGATACTGCACTGGATGATGTTGTTGCTTCGTCGTAAGCTCAAACCGTCTCTCCATTGGTTTCTACGCGGTGCCTCAATCTCTCCACCTCTCATCCATGTAAAGTTTCTACTTCAACTCTCTGTAGGTGACCAGTTGCTTTTCTACCTGTGCCAACGGAAGGTGTATGGTTGCCGGGTTTTGCTAGAGTTGTAAATGTGGCATCTACATGTGTGGTGTGTTCCAGTCATCCGTTCTTGCTCTCGTTGTACCAGTATTGTTATTTGTTGTACCAGTATTGTTATTTGCTCTTCGTCTCGTGTTGTTTGTGAGCTTTTATTTTACGTATAGTAGTTGCATGTGCACTTGAGTAGAGATATTCTTAGCTGTAGTCATCCAGTAGTCACGGACCTATGTATATCACATCATTACAGTGACTTGTTTCTAACGTTATGGGTACCATGGTTAGCATGGATCGAGTACCATCAGACTATGGCCGTGACTCCCTGACTGGGCCAAGCTACGGCTGAACATTTTTCTAGCACAGGCTAATTGCCTATTTGACATCAGTCGCATTCCCGAAATATAATCGCATTCTGTACTCAGCTGTATTTAGTTTATTTACATCGATATCAAACGAGCAAGGCTGACCCGGCAGTATTATGAGTCGATGGCTTCCGCCGGAGCAAGCCGGAGCAGTGAGTAACCTTACTCATTCAGATCCTACCACTCCTATCATTGCAAAGACAATAATTATCATTATCACTATCGTGATTGTTATTCTATTGGTGAAGAAGAAATTGTACTTTTTTACTATCTTACGTCATATCACAAGATTTGGTTACATCCTATCATGAAGGTAGAAGTTATCTTCAAGAACATTCTCGATGCTCCCTGCAACTTCATGTCTTTACTGAGCAAACAAGGCATGGGCGATCGGCCACAGCTCCACTCGCGCTGCTATTCATTTGAATTATATATTTTTATCGTGACAGTCCAAGACGGAAACAGATTCGAATAGCAGTGCTCATGCCAGACTGACCGTGTGAAATGTCAATACTGGGAGATATGGCATTATGCTATTTATGGGTTGGACAGTCAACCACGGAGAAGAAAAGCGCCCGAAGAGACACGGAGCGTGTTGAACCTCCTCCCCCCCCCCCCCCCCCCCCCCGCGCTCGCCCGCTTTGACTATTGTAAACCCGGAAAGTCTAACGAGTCACAGAGTCATTTTAACGACCACTTTTTGGTTATTTGAAGAAATGTTATCGTGAACCCGGTTTGAGATGTCTGTGTTGTATGTACACATGCGCACATCGATGTATGTTCTTTCCGTTGTACAGTATATGCATCGTTAAACTTTCTGCAAGTTGTCATGCCAAAATTACAAAAACGTTACTTTTTGGTCGTTTTAAACTTTCCGGTTTTACAGTAATTATGAGGGTAAACCTGTACATCGACAGGGTACGAGTGTAGGCTGAACAACTCGTGCCAGCAAGCGCATCACACTCACAACTAATACTAGTAGTAACACATCGCAGACCAGCAGCTGAAGTCTGAAAAGTGTGAACGCGGGCGGTAACGATACACATGGCGAGTCAACGCTTCACAACACCTAACGAGTTACGTCCTAAGTCTAAGTCCTCCCTCTTACACTACCCGGCCAGATAATCATTGTGCAAGATGGCACCTTTCTTTCGACCCCGTATTGGGCCGTAGATCTACCGGCTATGAAAAGTAAAGACACAAGGCAGAGTGCCATCACTCAATAGATCTACTCACCACCACTAGTCTAGCCAACGCAACAGCTCCATTTGAAATAAGGACTAAGGTGACCGAAGACAAGTATTCAGACTTAGTCGAACTGAGATGAGGTTATATGCAAGGAGAAGTTCAGACTCAGAAGGTACCGTCTTCAGCCATGGTCATCAGTGAGTCGAGGTAAGTCACTGACCTGCTTTGGAAGCAGCAGTTCTTTGTTTGGGGCCTGTTGTGTTAGCGTCGTATGTGATTGATGCCGTTGCTTTTAATTCTTTGTTCAGGCCTGAGTAACGACTTCAATGTTGTACAACTCGGGTAAACACAACACTCTTTTGTGTTCTGGTCTGTAGGAACTGAAATGAAGGCAGTCAAGTCGGCATGTTAGAGCATGGTATCATTGCAAGCCAGGCGAGCTGAAGTCTTGCCAGGCCTACACAAATGACCATGATGACCGCAGTTCTTCGAAGGGGCGACGGCGGAGCATGCAATGATTATGTCGCTAGCAGCTTGATAGTCTACCAGCACCGGTACCGGTAAGTGACTTGTTTCGAAAAATAATACCTACCGAAACCCTGTTACTTCCGTGCGGAAACTCTTCATTTGTTGTGCCGTTGTGTTAACGTGTTGCCTATAAATGTATAATCGCAGATTGAGTAATTATTATACATGTATGTATGCCGAATCTTCTCCGTTTACGGCAGGCAGTGGTGGCGTGTGCCCTGCGAGAGTCTTGGGTCCGGGTAGGGCTGTGGTGGTATGTGTGTGGTGAAGGGGTGGGCGGCAGGCAGCTGCTTCAGCTTGTACGTCACCATGGTCACTATTATAGGCGATTCACACGACAGGCAAATCCACGTTTACAGGAAAGTCACCATGGAGATATTCCTGCGGGGGACAAAAATTTGCCCGCGGGAATCAAAAGTGTCCATGGCCTTTTTGCCCGCGGATGCACTCATCTGCGGGCACTTTTACAGTTATGAGGCTGTGAGGTCGTACTATCGTACGGTAGTCTCAAACCCTGGTTGTTTGGCCTTTGTCTTTGGGTACTCATTCCAAATCACCACAGTAACGCCGTATACTCACCGGATACTCCCGGGAGCTCTGGCCGCCACCCGCTGCCGTGTGAACTGCAGCCTCACGTTTCACTTCCTGCGGGCACCTGACAAACGTGGATTTGCCTGTCGTGTGAATCGCCTATTACAGAGTACAGTGTGTACATGTTTGAGGCAGGTTGTACCACCAGAGTTCTACTCGCGTTCCCCTGCCGCTGTAAACTAGGGCTGAGTCGGGTAACATTTTCTTCGGGTATCTGGTTCGGGTAGTTTCCACGGGTAGCACGGGTACCCGATTGGGTAATGTTTCCATGGTAATGCCACAATGCACCCCTTCCTTTACATCAAGAGTGACATGAAAACCAGAATATGCAGCTTGGGACTTTTTCTACTATGGGTATCCTGTCACGGCGGAATTCCGTGATTACATCATAATTATTTGGCGAAGATCTGAGGTGGGAAATGGCGTAGTGTGTACAACTGAGCTGCAGTTGTGCAGAAAGAGACCTGCTTGAATCCTGCTTGTACGTACTACATCACTAAAATGATCATCAATCATCACGGAATTCCGCCGTGACAGCAACCCATCCGAGCTGCACACTCTGGTTTTCATGTTCTCTTGCTTACACACTGGATAGACGTGCGGAGTACTGTAAAAGCCATATATATATAACGAAGTGCTAACTCTAACGAGTTAACGAGGAGAAATCTTTCGTTAAAATAGAAATCGTTATACAGAAATCGATACATATGCTGTCCTATTGAGCGTTGAGAATAAGCGAGAGTCGTTACCTTTGGTACACGTAAACCAGTCGATTTTGGGAAATCGTTATATATGCGCCTTGTTAGAATAATGGCTTTTACAGTATTGCATGAACTATACAAAGTTTGTACACGTGCACTGTACATGATGTCATCTGCGACTTCGGGTGTTCGGGTGCTATTCTGTACCTGTTTAGCCGAGGTCCTCACGGGTGTGCACGGGTAGCACGGGTAGCACGGTTACCCATGCACACCACTACTGTAAGCTATGCAAGTACATGTATGTATTGACTGGGTAGGAGGTCGACATACATGTATGAAATAAAAGCCGAGTAAAAGATCGAGGTGAAGCGGAGGTCTTTTACGAGGTTATATTTCCTATTGGCCTAGAACAAAGTCAACTTGGATTTATCATGACAAACCAAAGCATGTGTTCAATCCCTAAAAAGGAGTCAAATATAAGCGGTCAATATAGCCCTATTGAAATTGTAAATATATCGGAATATTTGACTGCTCTAGGTAAAGCAACAACCAATGGGAACCACTACTGTACTAAGAGAGTACACATACTTGTAACTTCTGTAATCTTACTTTGTCCTTTTCGGAAAGGACGTGCAACCGGCAAATCCAGAAGAAATGGTTCCATGAATGGGCACCCTCCTCCCCCCCCCCCCCTCCTCCCTCTCCCCCTGTGGTACTACAGTGGTATCTGCTATAGTACTACAGTGACTATAAGTAGTAGCCTTGCTGGACGACTGGTCCTCTTCGTCTTGAACTGCATGCAGCATGTCTTGGTCCTCTTGAACTGCATGCAGCATGTCTTGGTCCTCTTGAACTGCATGCAGCAGGTCTTGGTCCTCTTGAACTGCATGCAGCATGCCCCTTGGTATTCTTGGACTGGATCAATGTAACTCAGAAGTAGCGACAAACTCGGCCATTTGGAAATAATCTTAATCTAATCTACCTCCCCTGAGGAGGTCTTAATGAGCCAAACAGCTGTCTGGAGGATACGGAACATCTACCCAAGAACGAACTTCCTCGCTATGGAGTGTGTTGTGAATGATATTATACGGGGAATTCCGGAAGGAATGCAAGGCACTGTAATAAAGAAAGGAAGTTAGAGGGTGAAGTGAAGAAATTTGGAGCGGGGAAACAGCGGCCAAGAATTGGTACATCTCATACAGTCCATTCAGAAAAAGATGGACTTCTAGCTTTTGGCCATAAATGGGTCAAACTTTGAGTTATTTTAGAATTTTTTTCTGCAATCCCCTATGGAATCCTCTTCCAATTATGTTTCTGAAGTCTATTTGTCCAAAAAGCAAGCCATAACAAGAATAGGATATCGGCCAGGTTTTGCCCCAGAAGCATTGAATTGGAAAAAAACCATCAAAATCCAGGCCGTTTGACCCTGCCTGCAACAGTGCATTGTGGGGTTCGAACCCCAGTTCAGGTACCCTTTTTGGACTCTTTTTCAAAGTTCAAATATCGCAGCACTGCACTGTGTACAATGAAATCACGAAAAATCGCCAAATACGGGAGCTCGCCAGAGCCAGGGCCCATCTTTTTCTGAATGGACTGTAGACACAAGCAGAATGTCCTTATCATCAACAGTATAGAGGTATATACTCTTGATACCATAGACAAAGCAGAGCGGACTGCTCCTTTGATGCATGGGATGTAGTAGCCAGCACAACTAGTGAAGTTGTTATTATTTTGATATTGCTTACAAGTCATGTAGTTATAAAGGAGGCATGAAAGAGGGCAGATTGTGTTTGTACTCTGGTTGTCTTTGGTTAGTCAGACCTGTTTTAACCCTTTACTGTCCGTACATACAAGCATCGATCCAATGGGATCGATGGGGTAGGCATTTTGAAATTATCGTAACTTGCTCAAATCTAGGTCTTTTGGAGAGATCGAAATATGTAGGTCGAAGAGAAAAGTCTCAGCTGTCGCCTCGAACAATTCCCGAAGCGATACGAAGAGCGGTTGCTGAGTTATCGCACTCGTAATTCTGGTCCCGGGAAATGTGCGTTCAGAGCGCGACGCGCATGTCGACGGCTGGGATTTTCCCTGTTTACGTCACCTGTTGGCAAGGCTACACCGATTCAAATTCAAAAGTAGGTTCCCGGGAGTCTCTACGAAAATATTTGAGCTCGATACGAGCAACAGGGGTGACATGGTGGATTGAGATCGATCTCGAGCGTGAGCTCAGCGCTTTTGCGCGTTCCCTGGCTTGCAGCGCTGGACCAGTGCATCCTGTGGCGCCGAGTGCAGGCTCATTGCGTTCGTCTCGTCAAGACCTTTCCAGGATGCCCAAGATCGTGGAAATCGTCAAATTCAAACCAAAGTTACGTCTAATTTTAGTTTCAGATTTTGTGGTTGCGTGGGCTTGTATACATTTTAATCGGACAGTAAAGGGTTAATGGGTGGTGTGTGTACCGCATGTGCCCATACGCACGCAGGTGTATGGGCACATGCGTGTGTATGTTGTATGCGTGTGTGTGTGTGTGTGTGTGTGTGTGTGTCTGCATGATTGCATGGTTGGCATTGTGTGCATGTGTGTGTGCGTACGTGTGCGTGTGTGCGTGTGTGTGCTCTCCAAGGTACCGGAATGTTGTGTCCTCGGACTTTACTGTCATCGGTTTGTCTGAAGCGAACTGGTATGACACAGCGCAGGAGAGATCTGCCTGGTTTCAGCGTTGTCGACAAGGGTCGAGAAGGAAGCCCCAGCCATCCCGTGCCCCAACTACCGCGGTGACAGAGTGTGCCGTCGTCCTCGTGACCTCAAGCAGCATGCGCCTTACTGCAGATTTCGGGCTAAGAGCCTCAGTGTGAGGAAGCCATCGCTATCATTGCTACGGCAATGGGCGTTCAAGGTTCAAGGTGTGCTCTCCAGGTTCGTAAGATGTGGGGCGATGTGGCGGAGGTCGCGGATAAAATCAGAGTCTGCCGACTTCGATGGCTTGGCCATGTGTCCCGCATGCAAGATTGAATACCTCGTCAGCTGCTGTACGGCGCGTTACCGTCCAAACGTCCACCGCATGGACCCCGTAAGCGCTGGAAGGACTCCGTGAAGTGGGACTTGATGGCTGTTGGCGTTCCTCTGGAGCAGCTTGGTGACATTGTCCAAGATCGACAGGGATGGTGGGACACCTGCCGTGACGCTGTCAACGCTATTGTCCAGTCCCGCATAGAGCCTGTGGCGAAGCCTCTCCTATGTGGCACTTGTGCGCTCAGTTTTTGTCGGCCACATGATAATGCGAGGCACAAATGTAACACTGTTTGCGCCGGCCGCGCGCACTGAGTCTGGCATTCCCCGCCCGGTGGACACCGCGTCTCCTGGTCTGCCCCTTATGGGGCCACATAGCCAGCTATGGTAGTGGAAGAAGGAAGGAAGGTGTGTATGTGTGTGTGTGTGCGTGTGTGTGTGTGCGCGCGCGTGCATGTGCGTTTGTGTGCGTGTGTGTGTGTGCGCGCGCGAGCATGTGCGTGTGTGCGTATGAGTGTGTGTGAGTGCGTATGTGTGTGTGCGAGTGCGCACGTGCGTGTATGAAGCCAGTTTTCAGCAACCACCATCTGTCCGTCCGCACCAAGAAGAATATCTTCAATGTGTGCGTTGTTTCCATCCTGCTGTACAGAGCTGAGTGCTGGGAATCCCCCCCCCCCCCCCCCCTCCACCCACTCCAAGCCGACATTTGTAGCCTCTCCACGTTCTACATGTATATGCAGTGTGTGCGTACCGTTCTGGGCAACTCAAGGATAGATGCCTGGCAAGAGTGGATCAGCAATGATCAACTGCTAGAAATGTTTGGGGACAAGCACCCACTTGCTATCTGGATTCGCCAACGGCGACTTAAGTGGCTAGGCCATGTTGCTTGCATGCCATCGGAGTGCATCCCGAAGATTCTGCTGTTCGGACTGCTCCCATCCCGTCGGACACCTGGCGGTCCACGCAAACGCTGGAAAGACTGCTTTAGTGCATACCTGAAGGTCCTGAATGCTGTGGAGGGATGGTACGATCTGGCAGATTCTCGCCCCGACTGGCGCCGCATGTACCGCAGTTCCGAGTCCGGCATTATCGATAATTTTCACGAAATTAAAAAAATTCTGTTAGGGCCCGGTGACACATGCACTGGGGTTCGCTTCGGCGTCGAGGTTCTGCGACAGCGAGCCTGGTGTCGCTCCAACGAAACCACGTGTGTATGGTCACACATACAAACAGGGCAAACTCCTACTTTGGCGGAAAATGAGAGTAAAGTGGACTGTGGTGCATACGGTACGGAGAATAGACGAGGTCAATGACTATATTGCACGCATTTTTGTTGCATGGACATCGTACGCATACGAATTTCTTGTAGCAAGTCCATATACAGCAGACCGTGGTGTTTTCCGCTGAAGCGAAACCCGTAGTAGAAGCGAGAGTTCCGCTCCCAAAATTTTGGAGGCAGTGGATTTGAGTTTCCGCTGGAGCGGAAATTCTCTTTTTGCTGTTTTCACTCCTGCGACGTCGCTTCAGCGGATCCACTACTTTTGAGTGCATGTGTGACAGGTCCCTTAGCACCCCCCCCCCCCGAACAAAAAATAGATTGACGGGACAGTTAGAATGCCTTGTCTCACATATCAATATTTTTTTAAACGAAACTCCTTGACCCGTACCCACTAGGCCTTGGCGGATAATGCTCGAAAAGGTGGCAGATTCTGCTTTTTTTGCACCGAAATTGGCAGAACCATACAAACCTTATGGCGGGCAATTCCTCGAATTCTGCTCCATTTCTTTATCCACATACCAAACATGCATGAAACTTACCAGAAAAAGTACCGAATTCTGCCAATTTTTCTGCCGGCATTATCCGCCAAGCCCTAGTACCCACCCACCATGACCAATAAGCGAAACTTTTTTTTTCTTTTTGTGTAAAAGATCGATAATTGTGGCCCAGCGCGCCCCTTAGATGCTTTGAGGGAAGTTTGTAAATCTGAAATTGATCACTAAATCGGCAACCATTGGCGTGGTAAAACATAGCCATTTTTCGTGGGATGCGTTTGGGACGTTCTCCACTCACGTCGTCCGCGAATGGATGGTGTGTACCAAATGGCCTATGCACACAATATTCAATGTAAGATTCCACACGTCACAGGCTTGCAGGTAAGGTGACCTACGCACCGGATTTCTCCGATTATAAGTCTCACCCCCCCCCCCCCCGCCCCTTTCAGGTTTGATCCATATTGTTTGGATGCCACTTCAGTAGTCGCAACCCCTTTTTTGCCCTTAAATTCTAACGTAAAATGTGCGACTTCTATTTGGAGAAATACAGTACCTGCCTACAGTCGACTCCACTTATAAAGAACTCGCATACCGCTATAGAGAATTTCGTAATAATTATCGCAAACTGCTGTCCATGTCCCTGTTTGAACCCATACAAAGTTGACCCTTTATAGCGAACGGTTTTCGTCTATAACAAACCAAATCTTGAATATAAACCAAGTGCATTCATACTGACAGGGGGACACTTGCCAGTCATGACTTGCTGCTTGTATAGTGTGAGTGGATTTTTGTTATAACGAACTTCGGCTATAAAGAACTAATAATCAAGAGTCGACTTACCTACCTACCTTCCACTCTTAGTGGAACAGAGGAGGAAAAGGGGACGCAGGCTACCTTCTTAAATAATGGGGTGCAGCAACCACATGCCCTGTGCCGCAGCCACAGTCAACATCTTACTACAGTAGTCCTCCAGTGGGATTCTTAACAGTATCCTCCAGTAGGAACATCTGTGTCAGAATCATTATTTTCATGATTAACAAAAATAGTATGCTGCAAGACCTGACATCCAGTCGCTAAATTATGTGAATGGAGATATAGTCCAGACTTTGATATTTTGATTTCATACTGATAAAAAAAAGATCATTATCTCAGCCCCATACAGCTTCATCTCTATGGGCAGATGTGAGATGTGTGTGTTTAGTAGTAGTACATGAGCCAAAAATGTTAGCAGAGTTAATTTGAAAAAAAAGAAAGAAAGAAAAGGAGAGATCAGCGCCTGATAAAATAGCAATATAGCAGCGGTAAAAAATCAACACCCTAACTGTATGCACAAAAGTTCAAAGTAAGCTGGCAATGCCATGTACACAATGGACGTGTATATGCAATCGGTGCCATCTCTCTGTACAATCTCTCTACACAGTACCTCTCCGTACAAAACTGCAGAATACCTCTGTACAATCTCTCAGTACACTCTGTACAAGTCAGCACCTTCAATATACAGTACTACAATTGTAGTGCCTCTCTGTACAATGCCCTCTGTACATGCCCCTGTAGACTGTGGTACTTCAGCTAGCTGATGATGATGACGTGTGAGTATCAGCGCCATGTTCCAGCAGTGGTAACAGCAATCAGCGTGCAGTGAGTGTACAGTGCACGTGTTGTGTGGTGGACGACTTACAGCTGGGAGAGTTGGGCCATGCAGTTGATAGTTGGCACGTAGTACGTTTGTCGTGGAGAGCAGTCCGTTGAAAAGCGACCTCCTGATGCCAACGCAATGCACACAGGACATAAGCTGCATGTACTCAAACTGTATACTATCTATCGTGCAAACACTCTTCAGTCCTGTCAGGACATGCAGCAAACACTCTTCAGTCCTGTCAGGACATGCAGCAAACACTCTTCAGTCCTGTCAGGACATGCAGCAAACACTCTTCAGTCCTGTCAGGACATGCAGCAAACACTCTTCAGTCCTGTCAGGACATGCAGCAAACACTCTTCAGTCCTGTCAGGACATGCAGCAAACACTCTTCAGTCCTGTCAGGACATGCAGCAAACACTCTTCAGTCCTGTCGGGACATGCAGCAAACACTCTTCAGTCCTGTCAGGACATGCAGCAAACACTCTTCAGTCCTGTCAGGACATGCAGCAAACACTCTTCAGTCCTGTCAGGACATGCAGCAAACACTCTTCAGTCCTGTCAGGACATGCAGCAAACACTCTTCAGTCCTGTCAGGACATGCAGCAAACACTCTTCAGTCCTGTCGGGACATGCAGCAAACACTCTTCAGTCCTGTCAGGACATGCAGCAAACACTCTTCAGTCCTGTCAGGACATGCAGCAAACACTCTTCAGTCCTGTCAGGACATGCAGCAAACACTCTTCAGTCCTGTCAGGACATGCAGCAAACACTCTTCAGTCCTGTCAGGACATGCAGCAAACACTCTTCAGTCCTGTCAGGACATGCAGCAAACACTCTTCAGTCCTGTCAGGACATGCAGCAAACACTCTTCAGTCCTGTCGGGACATGCAGCAAACACTCTTCAGTCCTGTCAGGACATGCAGCAAACACTCTTCAGTCCTGTCAGGACATGCAGCAAACACTCTTCAGTCCTGTCAGGACATGCAGCAAACACTCTTCAGTCCTGTCAGGACATGCAGCAAACACTCTTCAGTCCTGTCAGGACATGCAGCAAACACTCTTCAGTCCTGTCAGGACATGCAGCAAACACTCTTCAGTCCTGTCGGGACATGCAGCAAACACTCTTCAGTCCTGTCAGGACATGCAGCAAACACTCTTCAGTCCTGTCAGGACATGCAGCAAACACTCTTCAGTCCTGTCAGGACATGCAGCAAACACTCTTCAGTCCTGTCAGGACATGCAGCAAACACTCTTCAGTCCTGTCAGGACATGCAGCAAACACTCTTCAGTCCTGTCGGGACATGCAGCAAACACTCTTCAGTCCTGTCAGGACATGCAGCAAACACTCTTCAGTCCTGTCAGGACATGCAGCAAACACTCTTCAGTCCTGTCAGGACATGCAGCAAACACTCTTCAGTCCTGTCAGGACATGCAGCAAACACTCTTCAGTCCTGTCAGGACATGCAGCAAACACTCTTCAGTCCTGTCAGGACATGCAGCAAACACTCTTCAGTCCTGTCAGGACATGCAGCAAACACTCTTCAGTCCTGTCGGGACATGCAGCAAACACTCTTCAGTCCTGTCAGGACATGCAGCAAACACTCTTCAGTCCTGTCAGGACATGCAGCAAACACTCTTCAGTCCTGTCAGGACATGCAGCAAACACTCTTCAGTCCTGTCAGGACATGCAGCAAACACTCTTCAGTCCTGTCAGGACATGCAGCAAACACTCTTCAGTCCTGTCAGGACATGCAGCAAACACTCTTCAGTCCTGTCGGGACATGCAGCAAACACTCTTCAGTCCTGTCGGGACATGCAGCAAACACTCTTCAGTCCTGTCGGGACATGCAGCAAACACTCTTCAGTCCTGTCGGGACATGCAGCAAACACTCTTCAGTCCTGTCGGGACATGCAGCAAACACTCTTCAGTCCTGTCAGGACATGCAGCAAACACTCTTCAGTCCTGTCAGGACATGCAGCAAACACTCTTCAGTCCTGTCGGGACATGCAGCAAACACTCTTCAGTCCTGTCAGGACATGCAGCAAACACTCTTCAGTCCTGTCGGGACATGCAGCAAACACTCTTCAGTCCTGTCAGGACATGCAGCAAACACTCTTCAGTCCTGTCAGGACATGCAGCAAACACTCTTCAGTCCTGTCAGGACATGCAGCAAACACTCTTCAGTCCTGTCGGGACATGCAGCAAACACTCTTCAGTCCTGTCGGGACATGCAGCAAACACTCTTCAGTCCTGTCAGGACATGCAGCAAACACTCTTCAGTCCTGTCGGGACATGCAGCAAACACTCTTCAGTCCTGTCGGGACATGCAGCAAACACTCTTCAGTCCTGTCAGGACATGCAGCAAACACTCTTCAGTCCTGTCAGGACATGCAGCAAACACTCTTCAGTCCTGTCGGGACATGCAGCAAACACTCTTCAGTCCTGTCAGGACATGCAGCAAACACTCTTCAGTCCTGTCGGGACATGCAGCAAAGCAACTAGCCTACAACCACTACAGTACTGTTGGCTGCCGAAGAACGGCCAGGCTAGAATTTCACCATTTTTTAAGAACGGTCTAGGCTGGATTTTTTGCAGATATGACCGGAAACCGAAATGTACACTATAATGAACACTCAGACATATTACTCTGCAGAAAGTACTGTACATGTAAGACTGTACCATCGAATAAGAACGAAACGCTAGAACCCTGACCCCCAGTTCTTTGGCGCCCAACAGCACTGTAGACCACTAGCCTACAATCAGCACTGGCCAGCACTGGCCAGCACTGGTCAGCACTGGTCAGCACTGGTCAGCACTGGATATGATAACGAGTCGCATATTTAACGATTGTCCAAAATCCATACGTTAATGAGAACATACCATAACGATCTTGCAGTCTTCAGGCATATCCGCACATATAACATATGAGGCCTCACAGCCTCAACAGAACTTATTATAACGAAGAATTGTCACCCGTTAAAACGTTAGATTTGCTTCCTCGTTATATTTACATGTCTTACAGTAATCAGCAGTTAGCAGCTAGTATGCCCTATTTACAAACAGCAGCTTGAGCCCCAGGCCCGGAGCCAGTTCCTGAGGGGCGGTAGAGCTCCATGTCAGCTACATGTCCTATCATTTCCCCCTGGCTGCTAGCACAGCAGCCCTCACAGAACAGGGAGACAGGGATTAGAACAGGGAGACTCTAACGAGGATAGCTTATTAGTGCTTCCATGGACTTTCCACGAATGCTGGAATTGGTAAAAACTGATACGGCCATGACCATATAAGGGCGTCGGAACCGCACTGGCCGGGGCGGCCATGGCCGCCCCACTTTTTCGGCTTTTTTGTTTAGGCCACGCCGTTTTTTTCTATGTTTCGCGTCACCTTATTCGATGAAATCAATGAGGGAGGGCGAAAAAAATAAAAAAGCCATCCAAAAAAAACAGTGTACGTGCATTGCATTTGTGTACAGTGAAGCGACGCGGCACTGTTCATGTACATGAATACATGAGTGTATCCCCTCTGCCATGCTTGTGGTCCAAATACAGGCGACATGGTGATTGTGTGACTTGCGGCCCAGCTTATTTCATTACCCTGTTCATCGTAGCCCCCCCCCCCCCTTTCCCAATCTGTACTCTCTTGTACCATCATCCTTCAATCATGTCAATGCGACGGACCCCACGTTAGGCGGTCAGCCTTTGGGTCATCCTAATAAAGTTATTATTATTACTATTATTGCACGCACATGTAGTACATGTACATGTACGCAAGAGGTACACAAAAGGAAGTATATAGGGCTGTTTTTTGTTGTAACTCAGAGTTTCATGGCAAAAAAACCAATCATCAGACAACATTGTTGTGAACATTGTTGTCTGATGATTGGTTTTTGCCATGAAACTCTGAGTTACAACAAAAAACAGCCCTATATACTTCCTTTTGTGTACCTCTTGCGTACTACGCTCTGCCCATTCAGGGCATTTGAGCACTATTGCAGGTTAAGGCGCACACCCTCTGTGTACATGTACATGTACAATGACAGTACATGTGTGTGAGCTGAGTTACATTTTCCGGTTTTCTGGGTTTGCATTAAATTTGTATTGCATTTTCAAAAATAAAAATTTTTGTTCCGTTTTTTTTTGAACTCCGGCTGTGAAATACATGCGCGCGGGGGACGCGAAACATAGATAAAAAACGGTGTGGCCTTAGCACACTGCAACAAAGCGCGATGATCTCAGCGCAAACGCGGCAAATCCTTCTCCCCAATCATGGTTTGTTGCAGAATCAAAGTCCATTTAGAAAAGCGATCCTGTCAGCTTTTCTATTATTGTGTGTACACTGAAATGGCACCAAATGCCTGGGAATGGTTCAATTTTTGAATTTTTTTCCCGGGGAGGGTAACGTTCGTCCCCGATCGTAGCATCTTCTTGGTTTTTTGCAGAATCAAAAAGTCTTTCATTGTAGTTACCGTACACTGAAATGGCACCAAATGCCCGGAAATGCTTGCAATTGGCTTCAATTTTTGAAATTTTTCCCGGGGGACGACCCCGGACCCCCCTTCCATGGCCGCCCCACCTCCAAAGTCGGTGCGACGCGCCTGCCATACCAGTACTCGCCGCACTAGTGGCACTGGCCCTGCACCCCATCCCCTAATACTAGCAGTTAGCCGCCGCCTGAAATCAGCAATTACAAGACTCCCTGTGCCGGAAATCCGCAATTACAAGACTCCCGTGCGCGTGCCTGAGATCAGCAGCTACAAGGCACCACTCTGTAATGGCATTGAACGAAACATTCTGCTTACACGATGCTCTAGTGCAGCAAGCTCAGCCTAATTACAGAAATCAGCTATCAGCTCACGCCAGCATAACACAGTATCAGAGACAAAACAGCACCTGGTTCCCGGAGCATGCCATGAACTTGTTGGTCGGCCTACGCCCGTGCCCCACTCAACACTGCCTGGTGCAAAACCTGATGTACTGGTAGATCTTACCTGCTGGAGTATAGACTGTTGGCTTTGAGAAGAGTGAGGGCTTCTCACAGATTTCAACCACACGCTCCTCCACCAGACCAGAATTGCAGAGATTCTGTCATCATACATACATCCACACATGCACATACACAAGGGCACATACACATGCACACGCACATGCACACAGACACACACGGATACATGATCATGACATTAAACTACATGATGGCACTGTGAATGATGCGTTGCAAACTGCAAGGTCAGTACACCAGACACATGCACACACATGTATGTAATCACACGCATGTAATCACACACACACACATGCAATCACACACACACACACACACGCACACACGCACACACACACACACACACACACGCACACGCACATGCACATGCACACGCACACACACACACACACTTCCACATACAGACTCATTAAAAACCCTACCTCTAACAGTTGGTTGACAACAGTAGGGCGGAAAACATCAGCAAACAACTCATGGAGTCGACTCTACACAAAACAGAACCAAAGCACACAGAGTCACAGACACATGGGTAGATATTAAGTACAGTACTTGTTGCAATGTTCTAGTTCCAAATCACACCAAGACCGGGTTTGCATAGATTCCAAGCTCCCTATTCTTAAACTGCACACATACCATTAACTATCTTTATTTCCCCAAACTCCTAAGTTTTTTTTCACACGCATGGTAGTGCAACAGTGATACTGAAGTACAACAGAGTGTTGTAGACTTGTCTCGTCTCACCTTCTTGATTCCAGGTTGGGACATGATGAGTCTTGCAACACCATACAGCATTTGCTCTGCTGATCCCTCCATAGTAACACCTTCTGAACTCAGCCATGGACGGCTAGCAAAGTTCAGCTGGCGCGGCTTACTTGTATGAACGGTAGGTACACTGGCCACCGTGTGCAGGTCAAGGTGAACGGAACGGCGACGCGCCGGAGGAGTCTTGTTGAACTTCTGCAGCAGCGTCGGCATCTCAGCACTGTCCTGAGCGCGAGCAGAGCCTTGAGATGATGCCAGTGGGTCGGAGGCTGAGCCTGCATCTGCTGGTGTTGCTGTGCCCTTGGTAGAGGACGATGATTTGGGAGTTGATGGTACCTGTTGACCCTGCTTGTATTTACTAGGACTACCTGTAGCACCAGTACTACTAGTAAGAGTATTGGCATTAGCAGCAGTGGACCTACTTGCCTCGCCAGTACTACTGACAATACCAGTGTCGCTCACAGACACACTGCCATCTTGTCCTACATTGCTAGCAGCAGCAGCAGCAGCAGCAGCAGTAGTAGCATGATCCAGCGCAGTGCCACTTTCACCAGTCTGCACATCTGCAACACCACCATTAGCCTCGGCAGTGTCCACGACACTGCTCGCTAGCTTTACTGATGATGTGCTGGGATCTGCAGCCGCAGCAGCGGGCATCTCTGTCTTCACTGCCATGATCTCCGTGCTTTGCGACACTGGAATTCTCTGTGAAGTATGACACCACGCATGCATGTACACACAATCAAACAACAAAGAAGAAGATGTCACACAATTATACACCACTACCCAAAACAAAGAACATGTCCACACTAAAGATACCTGGTACGTTAAAGTCCTTGCAGACACGCACGCACGCACACGCACCCACACACATATTACACACACATATTACACACACATATTACACACACATATTACACACACATATTACACACACATATTACACACACATATTACACACACATATCACACACACACACACACACACACACACACACACACACACACACACACACACACACACACACACACACACACACACACACACACACACACACACACACACACACACACACACACACACCTTTGACCTTTGACCTTTGACGCCCATCGCCGGAGGCGATGATAGCAATGCTACGGCAGAAGCCATAGCAACTTGTGCTGGGATTACACCATTCAACAGGTTGCAAGGCTGAAGAATTGACCGTCACTATTCAGCCTGGTCTACACCATACAGCTATTTGGAGTGACATTTTCTGGCCAGTGAATCCCTTTTTTGGTCTTTTTCATTTTTCATTTTTTTTTTCCCGCACACACATCACACCACATACTCCGGCATGCACTGGCTGTTGGTAACCACCCAGGAGAAAGAAAGAAAAGTCAGGAAGAGTCTGAGAAAGAGAAGAAAGACGTGTGTGACCATAATCGTCGGGAATCGAACCCGCAATCTATCGATTGGAAATCGCTGCACATACCACTGCACCATATGGGACACACACACACACACACACACACACACACACACACACACACACACACACACACACACACACACACACACACACACACACACACACACACACACACACACACACACACACACACACACACACACACACACACACACACACACACACACACACACACACACACACACACACACACACACACACACACACACACACACACACACACACACACACACACACACACACACACACACACACACACACACACACACACACACACACACACACCTCAGACCTCAGACCTGCCCATCGCGGAAGCGATGATAGCGAACAGCTATGTTAGGCATAGCAACTTGTGCTGGGATTACACCATTCAACAGCTTGCAAGGCTGATGAATTGACCGCCACTATTTTTAGCCTGGTATCCACCACACAGCTGATTGAAGTGACTTTTTCTGGCCAGTGAATCCCTATTTTCATTTTTCCATTTTTTCTACACACACACACCACACCACATACTCCGGCATACACTGGCTGTTGGTAACCACCCAGGAGAATGAAAGAAAAGTCAGGAAGAGACCGAGAAAGAGAAGAAAGACGTGTGCGACCATAATCGTCGGGAATTGAACCCGCAACCTCTCGATTGGAAATCGACTGCACATACCACTGCACCATATGGGACACACACACACACACACACACACACACACACACACACACACACACACACACACACACACACACACACACACACACACACACACACACTGCACTCACAGAAGTAACTGACGACTGCACCATCCAACATTTAGCATTGACAGTTGCCACAGCTCCACTCTCTTTCACACCAGCAAGAAGTACCTAGAAAGCACAACAAGAAGAACACAAAACTTGAGAACACAAGTACAGCCCCATAATCTTTCTTCAATACCTGAGTCGCTAAGATGATGGTTTCTACTAATTCTAGTAGTGGCTCTGATGCTTCTGATGCTTCTGTGTCCAGTGTCTAACCTGTCCTCTGCTGTGTGTCAGGCCTGTGCTGAAAATACACACTCTTGTAGGTTCAATCTTTCCACCGTTGACTGCTGACGCCATGCCACTGTTCTAGTCAAAACAAAACACATTCACCCTGTTTCCTTGGTGATGTCTACTTACCACTACTACCAGCAAGTACCGGATTTTCCAGAGTATAAGCCCCCCCCCCCCCCATTTTGCCACGAAACAGAGACATCTACCGTTTATCACCGTTAAAGAGGAAGTATACCCTAAAATCAAATTTTCACCAGTTGTAGTCTTCGGAGTGCTGAGTCGAATGGTCTTGCAGCAGTTTTTTCAGTCTTTATTCCCAGTCAACACGGTTGAGTAAGCGGTCACGTGGCCGCTTACTCAACCGTGTTCGATTGGGAATAAGGGCCGAACGCTGCATCGCAGCCTTTTCGGACCAACAGCAGTCGACTCAGCGGCCAAAAGACTACAACATATGGACCAATCGCGGATGTCATCCGCGCTTTTATAAGAACGAAACGGCGTTTTTAGTGACTTTTTCCATACAAATCCCTATCTAGTAGGGCGCAGTCACCCAGTTTCGGTGGAAGTGCACGAGTTCGATTGGGAACAAAGGAGGAAGGGAGCGTCTCAGCTTCCTCGGACCAAGACCATTCGACTCAGCACCCCGAAGACTACAACTGGTGAAATTTGATTTTAGGGTATACTTCCCCTTTAATTTGATCATTGGAGCATACGCAAAGACATGCACACGCGTGTGGTAATGTGCATGCAGACACCAGCTGCAAACACACAGCTTACGGTCATTGCTACTGTCATTGCTACACTTACCAGTTGAAAGTTCACTAGATACTGCAGGTGATCCATGATGGACAACTGACAATTTCCATCAAACTGTACAATCACAACAACAACAACAAAATAACAGTGACAATAATGACAAAAATGATAACGATGACAGCACACCAATATTGACAATATTGACAACGCTGCCGCACATAACAACAACAACAACAACAGAAAGACAACATGCACACATCACCTCACAATCAACGGTCTCTGAGCTACAATAACTAAATCAATACACTATTCCGCTGCTGTCGCTGATCACAACACAATGACGGAGTGAGAGCAGTTTCTAGCATTGCTCCAATGACTGATCACTGTCAATGTAGAATCATTTATATAACCGGGGGGATAGCGCCCACTGCTCCTAAGACTATGTTATCCTGCTGATGAAATCTCCAGGGTGACAACAAAAGCTAACATCATGTGCTCCAGACTGCTGCAAGTTTTTTCTTCTCTCTTTTTCTTCTAGCAAGTACAAAGGAGGTCAGCGGATGCCCAGTACGAGTTTCCAAATATCCGGGACACCCTGGCAATGGGACATGCCAGAATATACCTGATGTGACCTTTTTGCAGCATAGAGACCAAGTGTAAGTGTTTGGAGTAAGAAAAATAATGTGTAAATGGATGCAGTGGAGTTTACGAATGGTTTGAAAAGTTCATCCCCCACTTGTTAAGAAATGGATTTTCCATGTTCAAGTACATACCTTGATCTTGTGAATAGTGGCTAGTGACATGCCCTGCCAGCCACATTCTTCAATCTGATCAAACAACATCTTAGCAGCACTGATATCAGCATCACTCCACTGCAGATAGTCAGCGCACAGATTCTGATACTCAGCCAGTGACAGCGGTGTGATACTGGCACTTGGCAAACTACTCCGACGGTATCTCTCCGCTAAAGAATCACCAACGACGTCATCAGTATCATCCATGTCTTCCTCTCTGCTCTCCTCTGTATCAAACAAGCTGTAGAGCTCATCAGGGTCAAGGTGCTCAGTCAGTAGAGGTTCCGATGATTTTAGACGTACACGCTGACAGTCTGTGGCCCGCACAAACTTTCTCAACTGCCAGCAACTTAGCGTGTCCTGCGACTCGCCATCGTCTAGTGTAGCGTTCTCACAATCCACAGTCAGGTTGATGAGATGTTCATCTTTCAATGAGTACAACTCAATCGAGCAGGGTTTCAGTGCTACATTGGTGTCACTCAGACCCAGTACACGTGTCAGACCCACACTCACATCGCCTTGCTCACCATCACCACCACCACCACCACCAGCACTAGCACTAGCAGTAGTGGATGAAGCAGCAGCAGCAGTAGCATTGCCAGTAGTTCTAGTGCTTGAAGTTGCAATCAAACTGGAGCCAATGCCCTCATCACCCGAACTGTCTGCATCACTGTCAAAGCCAAACGAAACAGACTTTTTTTCAGCTGCGGACTGTGTGGATGCCGCGGTTCCTGCCGATGATGTCGTCTTCGAACTGACCGCCTTGTTGCCCATACTAGCCTGGGGAGTTGATGATGATGCTGATGCAGTGGAAGCAGCAGCAGCACTCGTGTCAGTAGTGGTCCCTTGCACTGCCTCGAGGACATTGTAGGCTAATCCTCTCCAGACTTTTTCTTCTCCCAGTGCACCCACAGCACTAGCCTTCTGATTGATACTCTTACTCGGCAAATATCCATCAATTGCAAGCTACAGCAGCAACAGCAACAAGAACAACCACACGAGACAACAACAACCACACGAGACAACAACAACCACACGAGACAACAACAACCACACGAGACAACAACAACCACACGAGACAACAACAACCACACGAGACAACAACAACCACAACCACAACAACAACAACAACAACAACAACAACAACAACAACAACAACAACAACAACAACAACAACAACAACAACAACAACAACAACAACAACAACAACAACAACAACGCTTATTGGCGATGGTGCCATCGTGAGAATAAAGAATTCAATTCAAAAAACAACAACAACAACAACAACAACAACAACAACAACAGCAACAGCAACAGCAACAGCAACAGCAACAGCAACAGCAACAGCAACAGCAACAGCAACAGCAACAGCAACAGCAACAACAGGAGATGAAGAACAGAGCAAGTCAAGCATGGGGTAGATGCTGCACTCTTTATTGTCATACAGTGGTCATTTTATAATCCGACACAATTTGTACACCACAGAAGTTATGCTGGATTCACAAATCTAGAGTTTTATACTGTTATAGTGACTACAGCATACAGCATTCTACTTGAATACAGTTCCTACCTAATCACATGCCAGTAGCATACCTGCCAAGTGGCAACCGTTGCAAACTTAAGGTGGGGACAATGACATACCTATAGCTATGAACATGTATACAACATGTAGCTGTGAGGCATGTGACAAATACACTTTTGGGTGTTGCCTGTTACCCTATTACCACCCTCGATATCGGGACGGTCCCAGCCAAATAGGAGGTGATTGGCAGGTATGCAGTAGAGACAGTCTACTCGAGTACAGTTCCTACCTTATCAGATGCCAGTAAGGAGCCGATGCAGTGGAATGCTCCGATTCTCAAATCATCTTCATTCAGAGTAGGCCGGCTGGTGTCCACTTCCTTTGTAATGACTTTCTGAGAGTTTGCTGCAATGGCATCAAAGTCTTCAATGTCTGACACATCACTCTCGTTTCCCTCTGCATCACTCTCCACATCCAGTACATCCGTTGCACCACCACCACCAGCACCACCAGCACCACCAGCACCACCACCACCAGCAGCAGCAGCAGCAGCAGCAGGAGTAGCAGCAGCAGGAGTAGTGAGATTCGTAACAGTGGTAGTCGAGGTAGCCGAGGTAGTAGCGGGCAGCACAGAAGGTACTGGTGTCGCGGAGACTACATCAGCTGACTCTAACCCATCCCCTGCATTCTTAACACTATCACTGGTGTCCAGCTCAGCATCATCAGCAGCTGCAGCAGCATTGGTACTTGAGCCATGTTCCTGACCAGTAGACACAGAATGCCCGCCAGGAAGTGAGGCGTCCACCGCAGCAGCAGTCTTACACACACTCTGCTTGGTCAGACCACTGGCAATGTCACTTAACAAGGGAGCATCATCCGCCGCGACCAGAACAACAGCTTCTGCCTTGCCGTCACCTGGTTGTTCTAACGGACGCCTGCTACCTGTGCGGCGTCGCTTAGAAGGCGGCGGCGGTGGCACATCTGTGTCTTCATCAGCACTTGCAAGATCCGAATCATCACTAGCTCCTTCCAGTGCTTTGCGGCCTGCAGTAGACTGTGTGCCTGCTGCTAAACGTCTCTTCCTGGCAGGGGCTAGATTGCGTGTAACCGTCTTCTCACCAGACACACCACAAGCATTGAACATGCTCTCCTGTACGGTAACGTTGAGTGAGATGTAACCGTGTGTCTTCAGTAACTGATACAGCTGCCGGCCATTAGCCAAGCCACTGGTCGGCTGATTGCGCACCTCAAACAAATCAAAGTACCTGCCCACAAGACAATACACACGCATACACACACGCACGCATGCACATTCACACATACGCATAGACACACGCATGCGCACGCGCACACACACGCACACACGCACGCACGTACCGGTACAATGTTCTATATCAGGTGTGTGCATGGCTTGCCTCAGATAATGCTTCCCCAGATAGTAATCAAGCCGATTCATACTTCATTTTTTGCGACGCGAAAGCGCGATGTGGAAGTGCGAAATGTCTTGCGATGGCGACGTCTGATTTATACTTTTCTGGTCATTTTGCGAGACGCCGCGAGTCGCACTTCACGTGGCCAACTTTTTGCAACTATAAAATGTTGTTCTCTAGGCAACAGGAAGTTGTGCTGGGAAACTCGATTATTGCCGTGTGCATGCGTGTCTAGAAAAATCTAGTGATGTTGTTCTTGTATCGTTTCTTTTTATTTTGTGAGAGACGAGCGCAAGAGCAAGATGGATATGGACATAGCTTTGGATGTCGCAGCAGCCTGTTTGCTGCTAGCTGCTGCGTTTCAGCGTCGGAGGACGGCACGGACCAGACGTTGGTGTGTTCGTCTGTATTAGCAGCACAGGTCAGAGCGGGGGTCGTACCAGTCAGACATTGTGCAGATGAGAAGTGTAGACGAGAGCCTGCACTTAAAGTATGTGCGTATGTCGCCGGCTGTTTTCGACCGCTTACTCCTCCTGACAGAGCCGTTCTTGCCGGTGAGGCACCAGCTGAATTCCGCAACAAGACCGGAAATAACTAATGTGGACCGTTTAGCCCTGACGCTGCAATATCTGGCCTCAGGAGAGTCCATGCAGAACATTGCCATCCAGTTCCGTGTGGGCCACTCCACTGCCCACCACATCATTATCGATGTATGCCAAGCCATCTGGGCTGGTCATACATCATTATCGATGTATGCCAAGCCATCTGGGCTGGTCTTGTTGACAAGTACATGCAGTGCCCTTCAAAACCAGCTGAGTGGGCTGCTATAGCAACAGATTTCTACGCAAGCTGGAACTTCCCACACTGCATTAGTGCGATCGATGGGAATTTCCTCGGTTGATCATATGCCATGCAAAACACTTTTATTTAAACGATATTCTTTATTGAGTGCTGATAAGTTCCTTTTTTGTGTTGTGCATTAGATTCACTATCAACGATATGTCCGGGCGCAACCTCTGCAATGTCAACCTGGGTTTTGTTGAACATGCCAACATGGTCTCCATGGAGGAATTGATCGAAATGTTCCAACGCCATTCTGGCTACATCCCGCAAGTTTTAGTGGGAAAAACAAGCGGCATTGTGTATCGTTGCGGGGAAGCGAAGCTGATCGCACCATGCGACCGAGTTTTGGTCGTCCAGACGCATAGCTTCTTTTCCAACCCTGTGGAGAAGTATGAAGAGGGCCTCAAGCTGTCGACGGGACTCCACAACATCGAAGTCCGTGACACAATGTGCGGACGGTCTGCGTTTGCCGCAAATGACATTTCTGAGGGCGGGTTCGTATGCGAGTATGTGGCGGCAAAGCCAGAACTTCTGCCCGAGGAAGTGATCAAGGCCAGGGAAGCAGAATACGAAAGGCGTGAATTGGGCTGCTACATTCTGCAGTGCCGGCAAGCCTGCTCTCAGCTTGTGTTCGATGCGACGGAAACAACACTGGCTGAGAGCAGGTTTATCAACCATGCCCCCAAACGTTCCCGCAACAACAATTTGCTCCTCATGAGCCCTGACGCTGCGGAACATTTAGCCCTGACGCTGCAATATCTGGTCTCAGGAGAGTCCATGCAGAACATTGCCATCCAGTTCCGTGTGGGCCACTCCACTGCCCACCACATCATTATCGATGTATGCCAAGCCATCTGGGCTGGTCATACATCATTATCGATGTATGCCAAGCCATCTGGGCTGGTCATACATCATTATCGATGTATGCCAAGCCGTCTGGGCTGGTCTTGTTGACAAGTACATGCAGTGCCCTTCAAAACCAGCTGAGTGGGCTGCTATAGCAACAGATTTCTACGCAAGGTGGAACTTCCCACACTGCATTAGTGCGATCGATGGGAAGCACATCAATATGCAAGCGCCTCACAACTCTGGCAGCAGCTTCTTCAATTACAAGAACTTTCACTCCATTGTTCTTCTGGCTGCTGTGGATGCGCAATACCGCTTCGTCATGGTTGACATCGGCACCAGTGGTCGCGAAAGTGACGGCGGTGCGTTCTCTATGAGTGCTCCTACATAAGCTGTCGAGCCATGGAATCCATGGTGCTTGCTTCACGTGGCTCCATAATTATCTGACGGGCAGACAGCAAAGGGTGCGTGTCGGCTCTGCTCTGTCTGCCAAAGGGCATGTGCAGCCTGGAGTTCCCCAGGGATCAATCCTGGAACCTCTTCTCTTTCTTGTGTATGTTAACGATCTGGCGGAAATGGAACAGACGTCACTATATGCTGATGATACAGCACTACTTGTGACAGCACCCACTCTTCCCGAGGCTAGTGCCAAGTTACAGTCCAACATAGATGCGGTTATTCATTGGATGGAAAAATGGAAATTGCAGCCTAACTCTTCGAAAACTACTGTAATGTGTGCAGAATGCAACATACCAGTTGATATCTAGCCCTGCCCTAGCTCCCCGCGCGTCTCTTACTTTTCAGTTCCCCTTTAATTCTTTTTCTTTCTCCCCTCTAGCTCTATTACCGCCATGGTTGGCTATCGCCCACATCACCTTTTTCATTGGCTAGTGCCACGTGACTGAATAAATAATAATAATAATAATAATATTAACTGGTTTGAGGGAAAGAGACAAACGGGAAAAGTCTGAAGAAAAAATTGACTGCCACCACCAGGACTCGAACCAGGGACCCTCGCTTGTAGCCAGCGATGCTCTAACCACTGAGCTATGGTGTAGTCGTCATCCCAGCAGAGGCCGTTCAACATTTTCTTCAGACTTCGTAACTCACACTTCCTGTGAATCCACACAGGCGGGTGGGACGCAGCCCTCACTGTAACCCACACACTTCACGTACAAACTAGCACGCGGGGAGCCCCAAGTCATAAAATATTAACTGGTTTGAGGGAAAGAGACAAACGGGAAAAGTCTGAAGAAAAAATTGACTGCCACCACCAGGACTCGAACCAGGGACCCTCGCTTGTAGCCAGCGATGCTCTAACCACTGAGCTATGGTGTAGTCGTCATCCCAGCAGAGGCCGTTCAACATTTTCTTCAGACTTCGTAACTCACACTTCCTGTGAATCCACACATAATAATAATAATAATAATAATAATAATAATAATGTTGAGGAGGATTCGGCCAGTGAGTCCAGTGAGTCCGGTGAGTGTGAGAGCGAGAATGATTGTGTGAGTAAGAGTGGGTGCGAGCGTGTGTTTTCTAGTAGGAAGTCATCAGTGTATAAGCATCTTGTATCTCGTCCTGATTGCTGCAAGGTGTATTCTGATTCTTCTTTTTCTGTTTTGTGCCGTGCTCGTCATGGTTATAAGTTGCAGTTGAGTGTGTTAGAAGCTGTTTGTCAACGTATTCATAAGCCTAATCTGTGTGTCCAGAAGGACAGCATTATTCGTTTGAAATTGTTCTAGTAGCAGCTTGTTCTGTCTGTTTGGCCCTGGTTGGCCATGGTGTCATATCTTGTGTCACAGTATACTAGTAGTCTTTACAAGTTCGTTAAGTGCTTTCGCAGTTTTTCCTGTTATTACCTTAGTGCTAGGATTATCATTTTCATAGGTGTTGTTTCTTCTCACTCCATTTCTCTTTATTAGTATCTTTCTGGATTGTTTTTCATTAGTACAACGTAGCTTCCTGAGGAGTGTTGTGCGAAAACTAGTTCGAAGTACGATTTTTTGTTCATCATTTTCTCCATATCACATTTTTTCTTTCTTCCATGTTCTTCACTGCCTTCGTATCCACTCGTTTTTTGAATACAATAAAAGCCTTTGTGAAATGTCGGTTCAGCTCGTTCTGTTGATCGCAATTCTAAAATAATAATAATAATAATAATGTCGATTGTCACTGGACGATGACGAGACCAGTAGGCGATTTGACAAAGCGGTCTAACTACAATTCGAAGCAGCAAAGCAGCGCACCACCCAACTTGGGTGGGTCAAAAATATCCACAAAAAAAATAAAAAAATATCGTCCAGTGACAATCGACATTCTTTGTTCCGTTGGGACTGTAGCTTGTGCTCGTTTTCGTTGCGCTTGCCTTCCCCTCTTTGGTCTTTCCATAACCTTGAACCTTCCAAGTTGGAAGGCTGTCGGTTAGCGCTACGGAAATGTGTTGAAGCTAGGTGTCAGGACGTCGAATGTCTCAGTACTCTGTCAGTTTTGTGCCTAGTTGTTGCACTTTCTGACTGTACAGTCAACTTCGCTAATAACGACTGCGGATATAACGACAATTCGCGAATAACGACCGAGTTTCCATGCCCAGAGCAAAATCCCATCTAACTGTATACATTTTACTTCGGATATAACGACTATCTGAATAACGACAATTCGCGAATAACGACATGCTTTTAGTGCCCCGAGGTCATATTCACTGCTTGAACAACGACTTTCTGGGCTTTTGACAGCTATTTCAAGTACCTGTCAGTCAAGTACATGTACCTGTCATGCAGAAGTACCAGAACCTATGGTGATGGATAATAATTATTATTATTATAAAGGCACACATGCAAGAAAATGCAGCCAAAGGGGGGGGGGGGGGCTTTTTCTTCCTTTTGTATGTTGGCTTCAAAATTGTTAGATTTACCAGCACACCTATATGTATACAATGTACATGTAGTTGTACATGATTGTACAGTAATCATGACACATGTACATGTCTCTGGCCCTGTAGATGGCTCAAAAAGGCATATTTTTCAATTGATTTCCCTTGCATATTGAATTTTTATTTCCTTTCTACTGCAATATGAAAAATAAAGTACACATTGACATAGAGCAAGAAAAGAGCTTGATTTTGATATGCATGTCATACTATACAAAATATGGGTTCACATACATTCAAATGGGACTTCGGTTATAAGGACACTTCGCGAATAAGGACACTTTTCTGATGCCCCGCCGAATGTCGTTATTGGCGAAGTTGACTGTATATAGTATCTAGTTACAGTGGTGGAGAGTTACTCTTAACTCGTTTCCATATGTCCTTTTCCTTTCTAATAATAATAATAATCATAATAATAGAGAGGTTTTGCAAAACGAAAATGTGTACGAACTTTCGCTCTGCGTGATGAAGTGAGAAACTTCGCACGAACTTTCGCAACTTTGGACGCGAAACTTGCAAGGTACGCGAAATGAACTGTCGTAGGAAGTTTCGTGAGATTGGGTCATGACGTACGTGCACTTGGCGCGTTCAAACTACGAAAATGTGCAGAACACAAAGTTCGTGCGAAAATTCATACACATTTTCGCAAGGCCTGTCGCGAAACTTTGTTCGAATTTTCGTTCTGCAGAACCTCTCTAATACTAATAGTTCTGGTGGTGACAGTCAATTATTTCTTCAGACTTTTCCCATTTGTGTCTTTCCCTCAAACCAGTGAATAAAGGAGACATAATAATAATAAACCCACGCCGTACAAGTACCACCAGGATTTGATTGGACAAAGCAAGTTTTCCAGAGCAAGCCAAAGTTGTGCCAGATAGAGCAGAAAAGCACAATTTTATCAAAGCTTTGGCTCTCGTTAAAATGACACATATTTAATGAACAGTATGTACACTGATGTACATGCACACATGCACAAACATACACACATATGCATACATACATACACACATATGCATACATACAAGCACACATAAGTTAGATACACACGTACAAGCACATACATACACACATACCCTGGTGTCAGGATGTAACCGTTGAAGGCATGCGGAAAGTGCCCGTGGATACGTTTGTACTCGGATTTTTCCTTGTAGCGCTGCAGTGCACAAACAGGAACACACACACGTTTGCATGCATACACACACGCACACACGCACACGCGCGCACACACACACACACACACACACACACACACACACACACACACACACACACACCATTGGACCATTGGACGCCCATCGCCGGAGGCGATGATAGCGACGCTACAGCAGAAGCCATAGCAACTTGTGCTGGGATTGCACCATTCAACAGCTTGCAAGGCACACACACGTATGCACACACAACAATGCATGAAGACAGATAGGCCTGACGGGTGGACAGACAGAGACAGTCAAGCAGACATTACGGACGGACGTATGGACAAACACACAGAACACATACTCACGGACATCACCCTGTGGCTATCATCAACTCACCAAAACACCCGCATTGTCAGACTTCTCCAACATCCAACACATAAATAATGTGAGCTACATGACTGTACTAGTATTGTGGTTACCTGGCAACAGGACTACTCACAAAGAACATGTCCAACAGGAAACACATGAAGTAAGGTCTGGGTGGTCAAGCTGTGTTCAGTTAGTATTATCAAGAGTAGATAAACAAGAGTGTGCAACTCGCGGATGGGTTGGCCCACGGCGGAATTTTTTGTTGACGTAATCTTTTCGACGACGCACGCGCTGCGAGCCTTTTGGAGAGTTTTCCCTCGTGCACTTGGCTGGGCTTTACACTACAAGGTCGGTGCCCAGCACGTGCTCTCACACTGCTCTGCGGCAAAATGCGCGTTTCTCTGAAAAAAGGTGACGTAAACAAAAAATTCCGCCGTGGGCGCGGGGTATGTGCAGATTGTGCAGGAGAGATCCGGAGTTGCACACTCTTGTTTATCTACTCTTGGTATTACTGATGTACTGCACTGGAATGGACTTTGCCACTTACCATTCTCTTCAGCAAATGACTGGCTTGAAAACGCTGGAAAACGGCCTCCAGCAATTTCTGAGCATTTAAAACAAAAAAACAAGCAGAGAAAGAAGGCCTCCATTGTAAGATGAGATTTTGAATTCCCCCAATAGGCAGAATAACACAGTGTACTCCATGCACATGCCAGAGTTCTAAAGACAAGTCAGTACAGACCTGGGATGATGGTGATGACCCGCTGTTACCCAGTGAATAGGGATAATAGTGATGACATAGCAACTGCACATGTGATAGTACTATAACGGGCTACACAAACACTTGAACACCAGCATCCCCTGCCAGAACAACTGTCTGTCACATATTTCTTCATCAATGGTGGTAGAGAATGACCAGCACCAGCAGCAGTAGCAGCAGCAGCAGCAGCAGCAGCAGTAGCAGCAGCAGCAGTAGCAGCAGTAGCAGCAGTAACAGCAGCAGCAGCAGCAGCAGTAACAGCAGCAGCAACCACAGCAGCAGCAGCAGCAGCAGCAGCAGCAGCAGCAGCAGCAGCAGCAGCAGCAGCAGCAGCAGCAGCAGCAGCAGTAGTAGTAGCAGCAGTAACAGCAGCAGTAGTAGCAGCAGTAACAGCAGCAGCAGCAGCAGCAGTAGCAGCAGTAGTAGCAGCAGCAGCAGCAGCAGCAGCAGCAGCAGTAACAGCAGCAGTAGCAGCAGCAACAGCAGCAGCAGCAGCAGCAGTAGCAGCAACACATTCTCATATTGGCAAACGACTGATCATAGCGAAAATAACGGTTTCAAACACACGCTGCACTAGAACCAGGCATGTACACGTAGTACACATATTCATGTAGACGTAACGATTATGAGTACGTACCGAGTTGAATCCTTCAAGAGTGGAGAATGCATCGAGGGAATCAAACGACTCTTCAGACATGGCAGCTTTCGTTGTTGTCTACAAACAAACAGCAAAACACACCAGAGTGGCAGTTAGGCAATGGACATCCACAATGCAACTCTTCAAGGAACACAGTAGCAGCTAGTAGAGTGTGTGTGGGAAAAGTCCACAACTACTGCACATTACTACTACACTGTGTATAGACACTTACACAGCACTAGTTCAGCAAGTATTGGGCATTACAAACACTACATGTAGTATAGGGACATGTAGACAATCACTACTCATGACAATAGCCCACATTCTAGAACCAGAAGACATGTATGATTAACCCTTTACCGTTTGTATGTACAAATTTCGACCGCTCGCGGTCGATGACTTCTATGCGCACACCGCTGGACTGGTTCACCGCAGAGAGCTGGGATTTTCCCTACTGGTAGCCAAGATGTACGCGCAGAGGGTGCCGACAATTTTTTTGTGTGATGCAATATAAAAAATCGCGAAAATCGCGACTTGAAAACTGCGCTTTGGGAAAAGTGCGTACCCTGCGACTTTTGGTATTGCCTGAAGATTATTTCGACTTTTGCTTGAGCTGGCCTCACGACTGTCTGCCCTGCTGTGCAAGCCATGGACGCGGAGCAAGCTCTTTCGCTTCTGGAGACCCTTCCTGACGACTCTGTCGCTGCCTCATCCAGCGAAGATGAGTTTGTGGAGCCAGACAATCCTGTTGAAAATATTTATTCTGACGACGACCGCGACGATGACATGGCGAGTGAAAGCAGCGCCAGTGAGAGTGACATGGATGTCACAGCTGACGGCAGTGTCGCTGAGATGAGTGCCACTAATGGTGGAAGGGGACGTGGCAGAGAGAGAGGATTCGGCCGTGGAATAGGCCGTCGTCACGGTAGAGGTCGTGGTGCACAGGTACTATGGACAGCCAGCGGTGCAACCTGCACTAGTCGATATTTGCAATACTTGGGACAATGCTGACTAAGCTGTGACTGGTAACACTCCTGCATTCCACCCAGAGAATGAACCTGGTATCCACTTACCTGAGGGAGCCACTCCAGTGCAAGGATCTGATTTATTGCATATTGCAACAGTTTGCCCGATCGGCAATAAATCCAAATAAATATTAGTGCTAAATAGTGAAATCTGTGTTCGTTTTCTGGACTTGAAAGTTGTTGCATCGCATTCCTGAGGGTTTTTACTTTCAGAATCACCCCATTTTGTACATAATAAAAGTGAAAAATAAAAAAGTTACGGCATGAACAATGACGGTCGGTTTTTGCTGTACAAATACCTAAAACGGTAAAGGGTTAAGGTTGCCTGGTCTTTCTTCTGAAGCTGCATGTATGTGTGTTACCCTGCAGAATTCAATTGGTACCACTGTACGTTTGGCCCAGGTTTCTGTTGATACAGTTGCAGAAGGTGGTTGCGCTCTGGCTGGTCTTGCCTCAGGTAGTGGCCTCCCCTGCAGCAGCTGTGAGGGGTTATGTTTCCTGCTGTGTACGTGTGTGTGTGTGTGTGTGTGTGTGTGTGTGTGTGTGTGTGTGTGTGTGTGTGTGTGTGTGTGTTCGTGTGGTGGTGCCACCTTGGCTGGAGTGTGTGGCAACTCCACTACTGTAGTACCAACATGGATAGTACTTGTAACAGTACATGCATGGTTGAGAGTTGAGACCCACTAACCTGAATGACATCAGCAATGACACAAAGCTGGGCATCTTCTTCTGCTTTGTCATCCCAGACATATGTCTCCTGTGATAAACATCAGAAAGAGTAGCAAATATCAATATCATCAACAAGAATAACACCAGCAGAAGCGGCATCAACAGTAGCGACACAATCACCAGTAGCAGCATCAAGCAAGCAGTCAACATACATGCATGCCACAGATGTACTAGTAGTCACACCATGACCATGGCACTACATCAGATATAGACTATCTCAGCTTACTGCTATAGACATTGAAGGGTACGAACAGTACGGTACATGTATGCATTACAGTATTGACAGGGGCGTCGCAAGGTATTTTAGGGTGGTGCGGTCAGCCACCTGAAGTTCAATTTACTCGTGGGGTTGGGGTGGCTCCTCTGAAAATTTTCGAAATTTCGAGCCCAACTCAGTGCATTGTATTGCTTCAATGAGGTAGCCGAGGCAACGAGTGGTACGGTCCATACCGTAGTGACGGTAGTGTGTCCGACGCCCCTGCACAGTGAGGCTACTAACAGAACAAGTGTGTATAATTGAAGGGTGCTATATGCTGTGGCTCTGCAGTGTATGAGTAGAATGATCCTAAAGACTGCCATGATGCCATGTAAAGTATGCCGTTAGACAAGCTGTGCCTCCTGGCGTAGAACAGTAGTGGTACTCTTCCTGACAGCAAAGCACAGAACATGTTTCTGCAAAGTATCAAGTTTATTCAGGTAAGATGTGCAAACAGTCACTTACGTTCATTTGCCGATCAATGTCCAGCACATTGTATCTATCATACAGCTCAACAACGGTGTCAGTCAGCTTGGGTGCCCCTTGCGGACGATTTCTATGCGCAAGCAGGACAACGAAAATAGATAGAAGTAGAACAGAATATCAGTGAAGCATCTCTTCTAC